TTATAAGCAATGGGGATAAACTAGAAGCATTTCCAATAAGATCAAGGGTGAAACAAGTATGCTCATTATCACCACTGTTATTCAATATTGTGCTAGAAATATGAGCTAAAGCAATTAGAGAAGAAAAAGAAATTGAAGGAATTAGAATAGGCAAAAAAGAAACAAAGCTATCACTCTTTGCAGATGATGTGATGGTATATCTAGAGAATCCTAGAGAATCAAGTGAAAAATTACTTGAAATAATAAACAAATTTAGCGAAGTTGCAAGATATAAAATAAACCCACTCAAATCATTGGCATTTCTATATATTACTAACAAAGTCCAGCAGCAAGAGATAGAAAGAAAAATTCCACTTAAAATTACTATAGACAATATAAAATATTTGGGAGTCTACCTGCCAAAACAAAACTAAGAGCTACACAAACACAATTACAAAACACTTTTCACACAAATAAAATCAGATCTAAATAACTGGAAAATATCAGTTGCTCTTGGGTAGGCCAAGCTAATATAATAAAAATGACAATTCTACCTGAATTAATTTACTTATTCAGTGCTATACCAATCAAACTACCAAAAATTGTTTTATAAAGCTAGAAAAAACCATAACAAAATTAATCTGGAAGAACAAAAAGTCCAGAATATCAAAGGAACTAATGAAAAGAAATGCAAGTAAAGGTGGCCTTGCTGTACCTGATCTTAAATTTATTATAAAGCAGCAATCATCAAACTACTTGGTACTGGCTAAGAAATAGAGTGGTAGATCAATGGAATAGGTTAGGTACACAAGACACAACAGTCAATGACTATACTGATCTATTATTTGATAAATCCAAAGACTCCAGCTTCTGGGACAAGAACTCACTCTTTAGCAAAAACTACTGGGAAAACTGGAAAAATGTATGGCAGAAACTGAGCTTAGACCAATATCTTGCACCCTATACCAAGATAAAGTCAAAATGGATACATGATTTAGAGATAAAGACTGATACTATAAGCAAACTAGAAGAGCAAGGAATAGTTTACCTTTCAGATCTATGGAGAAAGGAAGAATTTATGATCAAATAAGAGATAAAGAACATTATAAAATGCAAAATGGACAACTTTGATTACATTAAATTGAAAAGGTTTTGCACAAATAAAGCCATTGCATTTAAGATTAAGATGGAAGCAGAAAACTGGGAAAGAATTTTTACAACCAGTGTATCTGATAAAGTCCTAAAATATGTAGAGAACGGAGTCAAATTTATAAGAATACAAGTCATTCCCCAATTGATAAATGGTCAGAGGATACGAACAGGTAATTCTCTGAAGAAGAAACTAAAGTTTTTCTATAATCATATGAAAAAATGTTCTAAATCACTATTGGTTAGAGAAATAAAAATCAAAACAACTTTGAGGTACCACATCACACCTCTCAGATTGGCTAACATGACAAAATAGGACAATGATAAATGTTGGAGAAGATGTGGGAAAATTGGAACACTAATACATTGTTGGTGGAGTTGTGAAATGATCCGACCACTTTGGAGAGCAATTTGGAACTCTGCCCAAAAGGGCTATAAAAATGTGCATACCCTTTGACCCAGCAATAGCACTTCTAGGGCTATATCCCAAAGAGATCATAAAAATGGGAAAAGGACCCACATGTACAAAAATATTTATAGTAGCTCTTTTTGAGATGGCAAAGAATTGGAAGTTGAGGGAATGTCTAGCAAATTGTGATATGAATTTAGTGGAATACTATTGTGCTTTATGAAATGATGAGCAGCCAGACTTCAAAAAAACTTGGAAAGACTTACATGAACTAATGCAGAGTGAAATGAGCAGAACCAAGAGAACATTGTACACAGTAACAGCCAGATTATGGGATGACTGACTTTGGTAAATCTGGCTCTTCACAGCAATGCAAGAATCTAAGACAACTCCAGAAGACTCATGATGGAAATTGCTATCCATACCCAGAGACAGAAATATGGAATGTGAATGCAGATGGGGGCCTACTATTTGCTCTCTTTTTTCTTTGTTGTTTTGTTTTATTGTTTCATTCTCTTGGTTCCTCCCATTAGTTCTAATTGTTCTTTACCTCATGATCAATGGGAAAATATGCTTAACATGAATGTATATGTAGAGGCTATATCAGATTGTATGCCATCTGGGGTGGGGGGTGGAAGAAGTGAGAGGGGGAGAAAATTTAAAATTCAAAATCTTATGAAAGTGAATGTTGAAAACTAAAAATAAATTAAAAAAACCCCCAACAAATTTGCCCACACTGAGACCCTAATAACCTTGCTCATTACACTCTGCTGCAGCAGGGTAAAAACATGATACTTGTGGCAATGGAAACTTGTGCCGTCTGTCCTGATAATTGGAATACGTTTCAAGGATAGTCAAGTTCAATACCACTTTTATGACAGGCTGTGCAAAGGTGCTAAGTGGTGTATGCAACATTGGATCCAATTAATCCAAGGGATGCTAGTATCCTTAATTCAGCCTTTGTTAGCCAATCTGTTCTTTAACTATGGGATTATTTCCAAAAGAGTTGCTTGGGCTGTCATGAGAAGAATATCAGTAAAAGCATTGCTCAGTATGTTTATGAGAAGAGAAAAGCGAAAGGAGAATGATGACGTAGAATCATAGCTGGAACTTCAGGCCCTCTTAGCTGTTGCTCAGACAGCTCCCTTTCCCACTCCTATAAACCAGTGAGGGAGCCGTGAGCCACTGGTATGTTTTTACTATCAGAGGAAGGGCCACATGGTTGCAGAGTGTAGAAAGATGAAGCTTTTCAGCTGTAAGAGAGAAGCTCACATACCTTCACTTTATGCGCACAATTTTTGTCTCTTTCCTTCTGTTAAGATAGCCATACTAGTATTTTAGGGTCCCTGGCAAGCTATGTTAATAAAGATTCCACTCCATGTACTGCACGTCCAAAGTGATATTTGGAGGCAGAATGTTTTTATTAAAACTTCACTAGTATGGTGAGGGCTTTTATGGCTTGAAAAAAAACCCCATCCCCAAATGGAAAAAACAGTAATACTTGGAGGATGGTTACCAGATAGAAGACCAAACTGATCAAATGAGATGACAGAAAGACACCAGGGAAAATCAATCAGGAGTCTGATCCACAGAGTGACCTCATAAGGTAGGATGCTAGGAAAGCTATCCAAAAGTCATGGAGGGTTGACCAAGGGGTAGAAGATATTCCCGTTAAAGGCTTAGGCACATTCGGTTTGTAGAAGTCCATGAAGACCATAAACCAAACTAACTGAAATTTTATTAATTCATTAAAATCTTCCATAAATTATTTAACAAAAAGAATAAAAAAGATAATTATTTCAGACAAATTTCTCCAGATTGCTAAATACCACTTCTCAAATGAAAACATAGATGAGTAGTTCTTGGAGTAATGAAAGCAGAAGAAATACAATATTTTGGTTTTGCCAAAACTCCTAGAAAATATGAATTGTTTGGAGCAGCTAAGATGGGTTTATTATCATTCAATGTTCAAATCAATGAGGAAACTGCTGGGCCATCTCCAGTCATCCTGATAAACATCTGGCCATTGGACCCAGATGGCTCTGGAGGAGAAAGTGAGGCTGGTGACCTTGCACAGCCCTTCCTCACTCAAAACAAAGTCAATTGCAAGTCATGTCATCATCTCCCTGATGTCATGGTCCTCTTCGAGAACAAAGGACAAACACAAGCTGCGAACAGTCCAAGCTGCCTGAATAGGCACCCACCTGGCCGGTTCCAGTTGGATCACTCAGCTCATTTTCCAGTCTTCCTCTCTTTCTCTCCCTCTTCCTCTCCTCCTTCTCCCTTCTGGGGTTTACTGGCTAGATTTCTTTCTCAAAGACCAAGCCTTAAACCCAATTCACTCTGAAGCTCTCAGATTGGGCAACAATAGGTCCTTGCCCAAGCACCATTTAATGGTTATTTTTTTGGGCTCTCCTGGTTCAGAGTGAATGTCAATAGTAACTGTTTCTCTTTTGGCCAGCAACCCTGAGGGTCTTCCCCTCCCAGTTTGATTTTTTTTTTTTAATTAAAGGGGCCATTCCTTGACTCACTTCTTAAAAAGGCCTATTCATTGAATGGGCCTTGCCTCACTCGAAGTGAGAACCTCAAAAGACCTTAGCTTAAAAGGGCCAGGGTCTCCCATTGCATCTTGGGCCATCTCCAGTCGTCCTGATGAATATCTGGCCACTGGACCCAGGTGGTTCTGGAGGAGAAAGTGAGTCTGGTGACCTTGCACAGCCCTCCCTCCCTCAAATCAGAGTCAATTGCAAGTCATGTCATCACCTCCCTGATGTCCTAGTCCTCTTTGAGAACAAAGGACAAACACAACAACACAATGAAGCAACACAATTTTTTATTTCAAGGTTTAAAGCAGACTTATTTTAAAATAAAGAATCAACTACTCCTTAAATGGTTTTTGAAAATTGTAAACCTAATAACTATCAATAAAACAAATAGTTGCTGCCTTTCAGTGCAAAACAAACAAAAAACTGAACAAGACCAGCCCCAAACTTGATCACAGAAAACATTTCAAATGTGAATTTGTCATCCTTGCAGTTTCTCAGATTTATACTAGTTCAGATTTCAGGTTTCCTCAGCGTACATGCTATTAAATAAGCTTCAAACAGATGTATCTGACCAGTCAGTTGCTCACAGTGCATTCCTACAGGGAGCATCAGTGACTTTAGAATTTATTATATTGGGTTTCACAGAAGTAACCATGCTAGTCAAGCCCAGCTCTATTTGAAATGTAGCATGGAATATTCAGAATGTCTTAAAATTACATGTAATGTAAGGAAACAGATCACACAAAAATAGAAAGAACTTTTAAGTTTAGAGGCAACTCAGAGAATATCTTTCACATGCTAAATTTGGTTCTTCAATGCACTTATTTACTATGGGCAAGATAATTTTTTTTTCCTTTATCCTCGCTCATTACAAAAACCCCCGCAAAACCCAACATAAATACAGTTTGAGATCTTGCTAATGTTTTCATTTCATTTTATGTTTCGATTCTAGAGATGGTTCATAAATAAATTTTCGAAAAAACTTTAAATACTGGAAGTAGCTCACGACCAGACAAATCAACATAATAAATATCAGAGGCAATGTGAAGATAAAAACCAGAAGGGGATCTGTTCTGAAATAGAAAAACAAAATGACAAAGAATTACTTATTATGCCTGAGTTTATTTTTACAAGTTCTTTATTTCTATAAATCTTAATTCAGGGTTTTGTTTGTTTGCTTTAAATTTCAGAATCTTAGCCCCACGATTTGAAAACCTTTGTGATGTGCTCTTGTGATTATCTTGTTTGGGATATGTGTTAAAATGCTACCAATGCATGAAAATGAGTGGAGGAAATGGCCAGATAAAGTCAGGTAGCAATCTGACCCAAACTAATCCAATTAGCATTTATAAGTGACTAGAGCTGTGCAAAGTACCACTGTGTTAGAGGAATGTGTATGTGTATACTTATACACACATGTGTGTACACACACACACACACATATACACATATTTATGTATACACACATAACACACATGAAAAAACAGTCCTGCCCTCAAGGAGCTTATATTCTACTGGAGGGATACCAGGCAATGTTGGAGGCTTTAAACACAGATAGGCACAATATTTCACTGGGATGAGAAGTATAGGGTAAGGTGTTTAGATAAGGCTAGTGATTACTTTCTGGAACAGGTAATTCTAGAATAGACAAGGAAGGGAATAACAGACTTGGTCTTGAGTAATCATCAGGGAACAGGCACTGCTACAGGAGGTAATAGGCATGCAGGTAATAGGTGCAGGGGATAGAATGCCAGGCCTGGAGTCAGGAAGACTCATGCTAGTTGTTTGACCCTGGGTAAGTCACTTAACCCTCAGTTTGCCTCAATTTCCTCATCTGTAAAATGAGCTGGAAAATGAAATGGCAAACCACTTCAGTATTTTTGCCAAGAAAACCCCAAATAGGGGTTACGAAGAATCAGACATGACTGAAAAATGACTCAACAAGCTCTGGTCTTGGAGTCAGGAGGACCTGAGTTCAAATCTGGCCTCAGACACTTGATATTTACTAGCTGTGTGACCTTAGGCAAGTCACTTAACCCTGTTTGCCTCACCAAAAAAAAAAAAAGGTAACTGTGGATGGATACAAGTTTTTGGACTTGTATGTCCAAAATAGATGTCATGGCTATGGGGATTTCTCAAGGTAGAAAGTCTGTTCATCCATGCATATCAGCAAACTGTAATTTGAGGTTTTGGAGAGTTCTTGAGCACCAAGAGGTTAAATGACCTTGCTAGGGGCACAAAGCCAGAATGTGTCAGTGGCAAGCCTTGAATGCAGATTTTCCTGGCTCCAAGGCTAGCCTTTGTGTAGAGAGTGAAAAATATAGCAACGAGAAATAGTATGGTACGGTGCGTAGAAGGTTAGCATAGCCTTGCCTTTGATAGATACTTAACTGTGTGACTGTGAGGGGTTCTAGAACCTGTGACTCAAGAAATTCTCTAAAAGGATGTGTTAGAGATGAATCCTCTGATCTAAAATCAGTGAAAGGAGTTTCTACAATGTTCCTCCACAATGATGGACTCATAGGTCACGACTGAAAAATAGAGAAAATATGACAAAATGTGGGCTTTCATTAGGGGAAAAATGGAAGAGTTAAAAAAGTTATGATTCAGAGTTATGAATATTATTTAAAAAATGTCTAGGAAAAATGGGTTTAGAGGCTCAAAAAATATCAGGTGCTTGGGGGGATCCCCAAATTCTTTGCATGGCAAAGGAAAAGTCAGAAGTGCTATCATGAGGGAATATAGCTTCTAAAACTTAGTGAAAGGAGAGAGAATTCAGTGAAATCTTTCTGTTTACTCTTGGAGAAGGTGGTGAAACATTTAGCAAAACTGAGTAGATTTAACTGCAGTATGATGTAAAGATATGAGAGTGTCTTACAAGGGGAAATGCAAAGCAATGCATTCAGGAAAAAATTGAGGCAAACCATCTAAAATATATTTATTGTGAAATTTAATTTGCTTCAACATTTATTAAACATGTATGTAGAACTCATCAACTCAGTAAATGAACCTTGATGAAAGAGTAGGGCAAAAATATTAGATAACAATATCATGATTGGGGAGAAGGCCCTCCTCCCAACTTCCTGTATGGCAAAGTCAAAAAAGCTATGGAGGAATGGTCAGGAAGAAAGGAATAAACATTAATATAGTACCTACTATGTGCCAGGTATTGTCCTAAATGCTTTACAAGTATTATGTCATTTGATTCTTACAACAATCCTGTGAAATAGGTGTATTATCATTTCTATTTTGTAGTTGAGGAAATTGAGGTAAACAGAGCTTTATAGGACTTGTCCAGGGTCGTATAGCTAATAAATGTCTGAGGTTGGATTTGAACTTGTCTTACTGAGTTGAGGCCTAATACTCTATACACCACACCACCTACTTGCCCCAAGTGAAAACATGGGCAAAACAACTTGAGACAGGAACTTTCTCTCTCTCTCTCCCCACTCTCTCCCTGTCTGTCTGCCTGTCTGTCTGTCTCTCCTTCCTTCCTTCTCCTAGTACATGAAGAGGCTATGGTTGCTTAAAATATATCCTATATTTCTTCTGCAAATATATTGGATATGAAATTTATTTGGCATGTTTTTTGTCCTACAATCCCTTTGCAAGCATTGTCCAGCAATTTTTTTCCTATGCTATAACCTAAGCCCCATAAATAAGTGTTCAAGATTTTTCAGATGAATCTTTTGGTATTGCACAAACCAATATGTTTCCTGTCAGTTAGCAAAGGGCTATTATTTCCATGATGACTAGAACTTGATGAACTGCTATTTCACATTTGCCATTATAGCACTCAAATAGAAATCGTCTAAGGTAATTGTGGGGCAAACATTATTACTGTATTTCTTTGAACATTGACTGTATTGGCTCATTTTATTATAGAATCTTGAGAGTATCAAGGAAACTTAGAGGCTCTCTAGTCCAACCCTGTAGACCAGAGGTTCCCAGACTTATTTGGCCTACTGTCCCATTTAAAAAAAATTATTTAGCACCCCCCTGGAAATCTATTTTCTTTAATTAACCCTTTAACAATTTTTTTTGAAATGCATCATTTCAAAAAGTATAAAATATTTAAAAATGATGCATGTTAATTTAATAATTTATTGTAAATTTGTGGGTTTTTTTCCTGCATTGAAATTTTGATGCAATACTGTGTGATATACATAGTACTGTATAAGTCATTACATGCACATATTCCTGCCAATGCATGCTGGACTTCCTGACAATGCATGAACATTTGCTTGTTAAGCCCTGTTGGTGGACTTTGCCATTGAGAAGTTATAACCTGGATTTTGTGTGTTTATTTGGAAAATAATGTAATCACTAGGACTTTAAGTCTGTTACATAACAGATGAAACATGTACAAACGGTTTTTCAAAATTTTCTTACCTTCTTTCCTTATGCTTCCACTGCCACCTTACTTTTATTCAACGCCCCTCAGTTGCACCCAAGGCTACTACCACCCCCATGAATTGTTTCAGCACCCCCCAGGGGGTGGTATTGCCCACTTTGGGAACCTCTGCTGATGAAAGTATTGGTCCTGGACTCAAAAGAATTAAATAGCAGGCTATGTGTACATACTGTCACTGGAGGGCAGCAGAGAGATAGGAACAGTCCAGGAGCTAAATGACAACTAGGTTGGTTTGACTGGAGAAGCTATCTAGATTTAGAGCTAGAAGAGAAATCATCTAGTTCAATCTTTTTGTTTTAATAGATGAGAGAACTGAGGTCTAGAGAATGAAGTGACTCATTCTAGGTTACAAAAGTAGTAAGTAGACCAGAAGTTCCTTGACACTCTCAGAATTCTATAATTTAATTAATACAATGTTTAAAGGAATACAATAATAATGTTATTTTGAAAGATTTTTTTTGAGTGCTATAGATGGCAAATCTAAATGAAATGGATGACTATTTACAAAACTATAAATTGCCCAGATTAACAGGAAAAGGAAATAGAATACTTTAACCCTATCTTAGAAAAAGAAATTAAACAAGTCATAAATAAGGTCCCTAAGAAAAAACTCCTGGAACCAGATGTGAATTCTAGCAAGACTTTACCAAAACAATTAATTCCAATACTACATAAATTATTTGGAAAAATAGGCAAAGAAGGAGTCCTATTATATTCCTTTTGTGACACAAATATGGTGCTGATACCTAAGCCGGGAGGAGCAAAAACAGAGAAAGAAAACTACAGACCATTTTTTCTAATAAATACTGATGCAAAAAATTTAAATAAAATACTAACAAGGCTAATGTGACAGAAAAGGAAAATGACAAATGTTGGAGAGGATGTGGGAAAATTGGGACATTAACACACTGTTGAAGTTGTGAACTGATCCAACCAGCCTGAGAACAATTTGTAACTATGCCTACAGGGCTATGAAACTGTGTATACCCTTTGATCCAACAATATTATTACTAGGTCTGTATCCCAAAATGATCAAAAGAGGTGGATCTATATGTACAAAAATATTTATGGGAGCTTTTTTTGTGGTGGCAAAGAATTGGAAACAGAGGGGATGCCCATTCATTGAGGATTGGCTGAACAAGTTGTAATATAACATTGTGATGAAACACTCTTGTGCTATCAGAAATGATGAACAGGATGTTTTTGGAAAAACCTGGGAAGATTTATATGATTTGATGTGAATTTAACTGAGCAGAACCAGGAGAGGCTTGTACACAGTAACAGCAATATTGTATAATGAGTAACTGTGAATGACTTAGCTGTTCTCAGCAGTACAATAGTCCAAAGGATTCATGATGAAAAATGTTATCCATCTCCAGAGAAAAAACTGAATGCAAGTTGAAGCATTATTTAATTTTCTTGCTAATTTTTTTTGTTGCAACATAGCTAATTTGGAAGTATGTTTTATACAATTTTACATGTATAATTGATATCACATTTCTTGCCTTCACAATGGGTGGGATGGAGGAAGGTTTGGGGGAGAGACAGAAGTCAGAACTCAAAAAATGAATATTAAAAGTAAATAATAAAAATTTAAAACCAGTTAATGAATGAATCCCTGAACTTGTCTAGGACTTACTTCAGATGTAGAGGTTGGACTTGATTTCTAAAGGCCTATGAAACTTCCAAATATAATTATGTGGTATTTTTATTCATGGAATTCAGTTCAGGTAGTTTAATTAAAGGGAACTTTATTAAGTACCTACTATATGCCTGAAGCAGCAAGGGTTATGCTTGGACAACACTTGCTCATCTCCACTTTATACGATCCCTAATTTCCTTTAACGATCTGCTCTGGGGGGCCACTTCTTATAGAAAGTCTATCCCTACGCCCTCAATTGCTAGTGCTCTCTCCTCAGAAACTATTTTGTATGTATTTTGTATTTCATTTTCTATGTCCAGGTTGAGTATTGTTCCATCTTTCCCACCCCCAGATCCAGAATGTAAATTCTTTGAGGACAGAGACTGTTTGACTTTCTTCTTTGTATCTCTAATACTTAATAAATTCTTGTTGAAATGAATCACTTAAAATAGCTAGGAGAGGGTACTAACTGCATATAGATCTTATTTTCTATTCTTTCAATAAAAGGATTACTCTCCCACAAAGTTTAGTTGTTGCATCTTGATAATAAGAGTTTGTATTGTCTCATTAGTGATTGACTTTAGAAAAAAGTTTTTTTCAATTAAACAAGGTAATAACTGTGTGACCTTTGAAAATTCATTGAACATCTCTTTGCCTCAGTTTCTTATCAGTAAAATGAGAGGTTTATGTAAAATAGATTATCTCAAAAGTCCTTTCTCATTTGAAAATTCTTTGATTTGATGATTATAAATATTTCATCTGAATAGGACCATGGCTAAATGATACATCAGTATATCCCACCTTATTCAGATTTTGAGTTGCACATTATGGTAGAAGGATATTTTTTGTGACACCAATTTTTGAATGTTCTCTTCATTTGGGCAGTAACATTGTCACTGATCCTTTCTTTTTCTTTTTTTCTGGCAAGGCAATTGGAATTAAGTGACTTGCCCAGGGCCACACAGCTAATAAGTGTCAAGTGTCTAGTCTGAGACCAGATTTAAACTCAGGTCCTCCTGACTGCAGGGTTGGTGCTCTATCCACTACACCATGTAGCTGCTCTAGTCACTGACTCTTTCTTAACAGAGGCCTTAAATGGAGGAATCCGCCCATGAATCCACAGCATTCTCATGGAACCATGTAAACATAGTATAGTCTCCCCATTCCCAACTTTCTGAATGTAAAAGAGCTGTTACATTAGTATGGATAAAGAAGAGCTAACTATTGGAATTCATAGCTCTGGGTACTGAGGTTTAAAATTTGCAAAAAAAAAAAAAAGGAATACCAGTCCTGGGGAAGCAGAAGCAAAGTTACCACAACTTTAGGTGATAGGACTCTTTTGACCCTGTGATCTTGAGTTTGGGTTGAAGCTTCAGGGAAAAGTCCTGAACTGCGTTTCCTTGGTTTTACCAACAGGCAATGCCAGCACAGTACGGGGGAAGACTGCTGCATATGGAATATGAATAATACAAGGTAGAGAGAGAAAAGCAGGGTTTCTGTGCTTGGCAGTGGGGAAAAAAAAAAGATTCATTCCCTAACCCAACTAGTCCTCCAAATCAGCCATTTGTAATTCAGAAAAAGAATGTATTTACTGATACCTAAAAATCACAAATGTTTATTTTTTCCCCAATAGATACTATTTTTTTCCTGTTTACTTTTCATTGTACAATACAGTAAATTATATTCTTGATAATAGAAATTGGAGAAGTCAAGATTTAAAAAAAATAGATTTGTTTTCTTCCCCCTTCCCTCACTTTTGGTAGTCAGTAAGGAGATCTAGTATGTTTTAATAATTTCCCCAATTAATCCCCATTGATTTCTTACTTAGGAATTAAGCCGAATGTCTCAATTGCAAAAGTGATTGTTAGGTTACAGAAACTGCAAATAAAAAATATTAAAATTAATATGAGAAAAACATGCCTAAAATCCAATTTCTGTACAATCTATAGGAATACAACCAAATCATTTAATGCAAGGTTTAACTCACTTTTAAGTAAGTCCCATTCTCTATGGTCATTAGAGAATGACCTAATTTCCTATATTGTATCTAAGCTGCTTGGTAGAGTAACCCAAAGTAACAAGTCTTTGGAGTTACAAAGTAACTCCAGCTTATATCCTTAAACTTGAGCCCTTGTATATGAGGGGAAGGTCTTTTATTTCTGGTGGGGAACAGAGAAGGTTTCAAGAAGAGGATAGCATTTGAACTAGGCTTTAAAGGATGGGTAAAATTTTAACAGGGGAAGAGAGGGTAGGAGGACATTACAAGCATTGCAAAGAAAATGAGCAAAGAGATAGGAGCAGAAAAGCATTGCATGTGTTCAAGAGGCAGAGAATACAGTTAATCCTTTCACATGGTGACTTTCCCCATTATGGTTTTGATATATTTCGGGTTGGAAAAAGAAAATAAATGGGATTTTTTTTGGGAATTTTGTGGAAGTCATAGACTACAATTGAAGGCCAGCAGATAACATAGAAAAAGTTTAGAAACTCAGAAATGCATAAAATATATGTATAGTATTGTATCATATTAACATATTTTATCTTTTAATACCAAAATAATTCAGACTTCTTTTCTGGTATAAAGAGAAGGCCAAAGTTTTTTACACTGATTTTCCAGATGGTGGGGGTACCTTACCTCTAACCCCTGGGGATGTGGAAGGGATAACTGTGGTCCAGACCATTAGTGACATAAAGTATGTGAAAGGGAGTAAGCTCAGAAGAGAGATCAGAGTTGGAGAAAGAGATTTGGGAGGTTATAGTGATTTCTTTCTTTCTCTGAATTCCTATTGCATTTACAGTAGGTACTATTTATTACTTTGTAGCTTACTTGTATGTCATCTTTATGTTAATTGAACTGTTTTATATTCATATATCTTGTTTCTCCAACAAGAATTTAAGCCTCTTCAGAGTAGAAAGGACATCTTACACCATTAAGCACATAGCAGGGGCTCAGTAATACTCATTGAATTGAATTACCTCAGTCATGGTTGGCAACCAATAATTATTTGTTTGAATATTGTTCAACCAAACAACTGAACTTTGTCATTTGGAATTTTATTAAAGAAGAAAATTGTATGACAATTAAAAAAAATGAGCATCTCTCTAAATTTCAAGTAGCTATCCTTAACAAAAAAAAATTGATATCTCAGAGCTAATTAAGGCTTTACTTTTTTGGGATTCATCTTCTAGTACTGTAGAACAATGGTATCAAATGCAAATAGAAATGAGGGTCACTACACTATACAGCAGGATCCCTGGGCTGCATATTGACTTAGAAAACCACATATTAACATATATTCTATCGTGTTTTTATTTATTTTGTTAAGTATTTCCCAATTATTTAAGTATTTGTTAAGTATTTCCCAATTTTAATCTGGTTAAACCCACTCAGGAGTGTTGTGGGCCACAACATGTTTGACCTTTCTGTTGTAGAAAGCATTTTAAGGAAAATAAGCAAAGAATTTTGCCTTGGGTGTGGTAGTGCTGCAATTTGTATAATCACATTTTAGGTTTGTAGACCAGAGCCAATCCATAGTGAATTGGACTGACTAAATATTTTAATTATATATACTTCTTTTGTATGGGACATTATTTTCATCACTTTGTTGTGCACTTCATGTAGAAGATTTGAGGCCATTTTGGGAGGGGGTAGGTATTCTCTCAAATATTCTTATCATCACCTTCAATTCAATGCAACAAGCATTAATTTGCTTCCTACCATGTGCTGAATCCCTAAAGGGATTCTGAGATAAAAATGCAAAACAGTCACTGACCTTGGTACTGTATGAGTAGCAATAGGAAAAATAGCTATAGAATTCAAAGGTAGAAGGAAGTGTAGAGATTAAGTGGAAAACTTGAACACTTTTTTTCCATCCTGACTCCCAGTTTTCTTTCATACTTCTTTCCAAAGTCAAAGAAAGAAATATTCCTTCTCCACTCTGAAGCAAATCTCTCCACCTGTACCTTGGATTCCATTTCCCCCCCTCCTTCCACCACCTAGTTCTCCCCCATCCTTACTTTCTTTTTTTCAAAGTTTCCTCTTCTGCCTCCAAATATTCACAGCTTTGCTCACCTTAAAAATATCTGCTTGACCCCGCTGATCCTATTTTCTTTCTCAGTTTGGACAACTGACTGATACTAAAGAAAAATAACTCACTCTTTTTAAACCTATGATTTACCGTTACTATTATTATTGCTACAAGGCTTTTAACTACCAAATCATTGTAACACAAAAATTTCCATATACCTGTAGTTTGGATCAATGATCTTAGCTTGGAATACATAAAAGCCAATATGGTGATTTCTCCAAACTATGTCATTTTTATTGGTCAAGTTGATGATCTCATATGGCTGTGTTAGGTCTCCTGGTTTTCCAGTGGAAAATGAAAAGCAGTGTCTATAATTCTAAATAGATAAGAAATAGAAATATCAAATTCACTTGCTGATTTTGGTAAACAAACTTTCACTACCTTCAGGGGTATATTCTGGGAAATGCTTAACAACCATATCTCTGGAGGAGAAAAAGCATAGGTGACAAATTTTTAAACATAATTTGCATTATTAACATTTTCCTCATCACTTTATTAAGTCTAGAAATCAACAAAACAATAAGTCTTGCCCTGATTTATTGTTTTTTGGCCACATTTTTAATTGGCATTTGGCAATTTGAAGGTATAAATGCTCACATTGTCAATTTAACAACAGGCTCTTGCAAGCTGGTTTAAGCTGGCTCTAGTTTGCCCTTGCCTATATTCTTGTTCTGCAGCCTTATTGTAACGAGGAGAGTACCCTGGCTTCCTGAAGACTTTGTCAATGAAGCAAAAGCTCTGACAAGTTCTACAATGCTGGCAAAGCTTCAAGTATGGGCTTGCCAATGGACAGAATTGTCTGAGGACTGGACCAGCTAAGCATGGAGAGGCTCATTATCAAGAAGGTGGTGACCGGTTGTAGATTTGGTAACTGACTGGTTGGTAACACGTGATTTGGTAACTGACAACTGAATGAAAATGGGTAGAGGGGAAAATATCAAGGATGTCCTTCAGATTTTTTTTTTATTTGGAAAATGATGGTTCCATTGGCAACATCAGAGAGGCCCATATGAGAAACTAGTTTGAAGAAAATTATAATTTTTCGACATGTTAAGTCTAATACATAACATGAGCTTTTAGTCCAGGGGATCTCCTGAAGACTACCTTCTAAGCTGTTAGAGGGGTTGCAATCTTGATCACTCACACTGATGAAATTGTGCATCTTTGAATTATTGAAATAGAAACATAAAAATAAAACATTTAACTTAGTAAATTATTCAGAGAGTAAACTTAGTCATTCCTCTTCATTCCACTGAATCATATCATTATGGTATAAGACAGGATATAGACAGGTTATATGACATTTGAAGCACTTGAAGGTGTCTCAAAGTTGCTTTGTTGTATGGAATTTGATTACAATCTGAGCTGACAGTTATATCTTACATATGAAAACTTGTAGTTACTAAAGCAATATTATCTCATTGATTTATGTATCTGTTGAAGTTAGGGCTACATTTACAGAAAACAAATGTTGGAGTATCTTTTATTTCAAATAATTACAAATCAGAAGGTGTGGTATTATACAACATATGCTCTATAGCAGTGGCTTGAACAGCAAAATATTGTTTTTATTTCTTCCACCCTATATTTGAAAATAATCTGAGCTACATTCTTATAGAGGCAACTTTGCCTCACATGTTAGCCTTGGAATTAGGAAGAGCTGTATTCAAATTCCACCACAACACTTTCTACCTGTGTGACTCTGAACAAGTCCACATAATTCATAGTTAACACCTTGGGGGTATCTGCAGGAGGCGCTTTGGTGAAGTGGATCTGGGTTCAAAGCTTGCCTTTGCTCCTATTACCTGTGTAAATGTGGGCAAGTCACTTAACTTTTAGGTCTCAGTTTCCTTATCTCTGTGTGTATGTGTATGGGAGAGGTAGAGGTTGATTGAGTCAAATCAACTGGTAAGTTTTTCTACCCCATAGAAAGAAAGTGATAGATGCTCAGATATATGTTAAGTGAGAACTAATATTAGTTCACTAGATGAGAACAAGGCTAGGACATCTCCCCAGGTGACAGGATCAAGGCAGTCAGCAATGTTCTGTGGGGTCTGCATAAAACCAGAGAGATAGTAAGAATCATATATTAGAGTGAACAGTGAGGCAGAAGAACTCCTTGGGTTTGGATTTAACCTTCTTTCAATTTATCAGCATTCCTCTTTCCTCCCCCTCCCCCCAATGGCCAGAGGAGGATTTTGTGAACTTCGGAGGATCTGAGGATTTTGGACTTCTCACTGGTGCCCTAGTAGTATCCCCAGCACAGCTAACCCATTGTCTATATTAGGAGCCAAGGACAAATTGGATTGGATGAGGAAAATTCAAGGTTTTACAAAGAATGTGACAGAAAAGCTATACTACAACTGAGAGGAAAATCTTGAGGACTATAACAAAAAGATTTCAGGAGCTCCAAGTTACCTCCTTTTCCTATACATGTTCTAAGCTTGATCTTACTTTCCTCTGAATTTCTTATGTTTGAGTAGGAGAGTGTGTAACACATCTTTAAAGGGAAATATTTTGTACCAACTATATCATCTGAAGAAATATCCCTTTCTAAAAGCTAATTAAGTCTGGCTGACTAATTGGTATCAACTGATAATCACAGTGGGAAGCATATCAATTGGGGCTCATGAGCTTTATTGCTAGGAAAAAAACAAACTAGAAAAACCATGCCCAATCTTTCATGGCTACTCCTGGCTTCAGGAAAGGAAGGAAGGAAGGAAACAAACATTTATTTAATGACTCTTATGTGCCAGGCATTGTGTTAAGCAGTTTATAAATATTATCTCATTTGATCCTCACAAAAACACTGGAAGGCAGGTGCTATCGCCATCTCAATTTTATAGGTAAGGGAATTGAGGCACACAGAGGTTAAGTACTTCGGCTAAGGTTGCACAGTAAGTGTTTGAGGCTGGATTTGAACTCAGGTCTCCAGTCCCAGCACTTTATCCACTAGCCACCTACCTGCCTCTGAGTGGTCACCTATCTGAGCTTTGGAGACCTGCCAGATTGAGTGGGAGTTTGGAGAGCTGTGCTATAATGTTAAAATGAGGCAGGTGGGCCACATAATCTCGAAAGTTTCTTTCAGTTCTGTATCTATGATCCTTAAGAGTTCCTCACTTGAATGAAATGACAGACCCAATAAAATTTGACATAAAAAACCCTGTTATGCTATGGATGTTATATTATTTTGTAAAGGGGATTTGGGGATGGGGGAAGACTTCTGTTCCTGCAACACGGCTCCAGTCAGTTCATGGTGAAGCCCAACTGTGAAGTGCTATTTCTGTGAATTACTAAATCTACACTAAAAGAGTAATGTTGCAGTTCAGGGAATAATTTCTCAATGTTTTCAAAATGTTCTGTGTTCCCTGAAATATTGCAGAGTTCCACAAAGTAGAGAATACCAGAGCCCTAGAGTTGGAAGGGACTTTAAAGGTCAATCAATCAGCAAAAATAATTATTAATTGATATGCTTCCCACTGTGATTATCAGTTGATATCAATTAGTCAGCCAGACTTAATTAGCTTTTAGAAAGGGATATTTCTTCAGATGATATAGTTGGTACAAAATATCCTGCCATCAGAGAATTTACATTCTGATGGGGAAGAGAACATATACATAAACAGGTACATACAGAGTAGAGGGAAGGTTGACTGAAAAGGAAGGGCACAAGCAGCTGGGAGGCCTAGAAAAGGACATCTGCAGAAGGCATTTGATCTGATTAAAGGAAGGCAAGGATTCTCAGAGGTAGAAGTGAGCAGGGAGGGCCTTCCAGGCATAGCAGGCAGCTACTACAAAGACATAGAAATGGGAGCCAGGTTGTGGGGGAGCAGCATGTAAGCCAATATGACAAGACCAGAGAGTCTTCCTTATTCCAAGTCTGGCTCTCTATCTGTGATGCCGTGTTACCTTTGGACATAATAATATGGCCCAATAATCAGTGGAATGGCAAAGCAAGTATGACTATAGCTTTAAAACTATTTATGCCTCTAGTTATTTATCAAACTTATCTCATAGAAGTCTTATAATCCTCTAATTCAAAGTAATCCAGTTTTAATCGGCAATGTACAAGTCTAATTTTTCTTACGTGAGGGCCCCAGACTTCTTCAAGAGGGACGTCTTTATTTTGTGCCATCATTGATTTCCATGACTGTGCTTCATTCACACAACCAGCCTATTAAAAAGAATATTTGCAAAGTCAAAAAGATTTAGTTTCCTTGAAAGATTTTCAAAGATTCTTGGCTCTAACCCACCCAGTAATGGTACTTGCACTGTTTGTATGGAGGAATGTTTCCATCATTGTGCTCAAACTAATGTCAAACAATGGCCCTGCTTTCTGGAGGAAGGAAGGAATGCCTTCACAATCATCATCAAGAGTTAACTTCCCTCACTAATTTGAAAAAAAAAGTTATTTTCCCCTGCTTGTCTCTCTAAAAATTAAGTGGAAAAGATAAATTACATTAAATGATTGACCAACAGATGAATTGCTAGGAGAAGCCATTCTCTTACATCAGCTGTACTTAGATGAGCAACTGGGGAAATTACATCAATTCAATTTTTAAAAGTCAATTCAATGAAAAGAAATCAAGCTAGCTACTTAGTGTGGTGTGAATGAAACAAACAGCTGATTGACTTGACTCTTCAGCTGTGATTTGGCATCATGGAGAGAAGATCAAGGCTCACATTGGGACAGAATTGCCACCAGTCCTAGGGCAGCTGTGTGGTACAGTGGATTGAGGACCAGGTCTGGAGTCAGAAAGACTCCTCTTCCTGAGTTCAAATATGGCCTTAGATACTTACTAGTTGTGTGACCCTGGGCAAGTCACTTCATCCTGTTTTGCCTCAGTTCCCTCATCTGCAAAATGAGCTGGAGGAGGAAATGGCAAACCATTCCAGTATCTTTGCCAAGAAAACCCCAAACGGGGTCATAAGGAGTCAGACATGACTGAAAAATGACTGAATAAAGCAGCCAGTCCTTTGTTGTTTTCCACCACTCCCATTTCCTGATAGAACAAAATAAGATCATAGAAAGCTCCTTCTCAAGAACTCCCTAGAGACTTAGAGATACCCCAGTGGTCCCACTTATTTTTTTAATCAAGCTTGGATTGAGAGAAAGAACATACTAAGGAATTATGATAGGGCTTTATGAGCCAGGACAATCTTATTTGTAAGTGACTATACAGTGGGATTTGAACAGTACTTGAAAAGTTTCCTTCATCCCCAAATAAATCCTTAACTAGAACACCACAGTGCATGAAATTCTACCATTAGTCAGTCCTTTGGGTTAAAGTATTATGTCTCTAAGAATTCCCTTTCAAAATACAAATATTCCTGTGAGAGGTACCACATTAAGGGGTCATAAGGTTGTTGTTGTTGTTAATGAGGCAGCTAGGTGGTAGAGTCAGGATGACCTGAATTCAAATCTTGCCTCCGACATTTCCTAGCTATGTGGCCCTAGACAAGTCACTTGACCGCCTCCTGCCTCAATTTCCTTATTTGTAAAATGGAGTTGATTAAAAATGGCAACTAGCTCCCAGGGTTGTTGTGAGGTTAAAATGAGATAATATTTATCAAAGTTCTTTGTAAACCTTAAAGCACCATATAAATGCTATAATTACAGAGTAGGCTACAAGATTGTTTTTAGTTGGCTATCCCTTTGGAAAATAAGGTCTGGTAGTATTGAGACACAGTGCAGATAAGTTTTCAAATCAAGCAATACTAATCGAGAACTTGTGTGAGATGATGCTCTGGGTTAGGCTTGACTCAGCCTGCCCCCTGGTAGTTGAAGGTTTGATATTGGAATGAAATGAGATACTTGTAGGTCTGTAAGGGTCATTTGTGAGATGACTCTGTCCTTACCTGCAGGAGTGCACATGATTGCCTGGGAGTATTAAGGTGGATCTGCGCATGTCACTAAAATGAGCAGACGTGGCAAGTTGGCTGATACTTAGGTCCGCTGAGTTGCTCACGTGCAACGGCTCATGACATGATGAATAAGCACGAATCCTCTTTGCTTTGGGGGCAGGACATGATTGGCTTACTGCGGGAAGGGCTCGTGAAAAAGGTGGACGGGGAGAGGATAAGAAGGAGGTACCCGGAGGCAGGAAAAAGTTAGAGCCGCAGAGCCGCGTTAGCCACGAGAGCCGCGCTAGTAGTCAGAGTTGTAACAATAAAAGAGTATACTCTGAAAGTATCTTGGGGTGTTCTGTGGAGTCATTTCTCCAGTGTAGCTGGAGCCGGAGACGTCCGAAGCCTGTTGAGGAGGTAAGTTCTTAACCCAGATAAACACGGAGCATATCGAGCCCAGATAAGCACAGACTATAACATAGGTCATTTAAAAAGTTAACAAAAGGAGATCTACTTAGCCATAGCAAAAGAATGTTCAACAAGAATAAGCACTGAGGACACCTTGACTTGATTCAGGTCAAGGAAGCTCCCTTGTTTATTACCCATCATAATCCACCAAACTTCCAAAACCATTCTGCTTCCCCCTTCCCTGCCCCAATCATTATCCCCATTACCCCTAGGTCATTATGGCCACTTTGTTCCCAGGCAATAAGCAAGTGACAGCAAGAATCTGAGCTCTCAGTCCCCTGAGCCAACCAAGCCTGAGGATGTCTCGATATCTTTTAAGAAAAAAACTACGCTAATCTGCATGGGAGGAATGGTTTAGCTTTCGCCATTACTCCTACCATAGGTGTTATGGAAGATAAAATAAAGACGTGGTCTTCACTCTCAAGGACTTCACAGTCTAGTTGGCTTTGATAGGGAGAAAGTGTCTAGTACTCAGGTTGCTGTCAGTAGAAGGCAGGCCCGAGTAAGCCCCCCAAAAAGACAGCAATGGATTCCTGTGGGAAGGCAGCAGAACCACAGGGGAGATCATGGGTGGTGAAAAAACACTTGATTTGTTGGAAAGTGAAGCATGGAGATCCAAGGAAGCTTGAAAAAGAGACTATAAGGTTCCCAAACTCAGCTTATGCTAGGAAGAGGGTCCCAAAAAGGAATTTGATCCATGGCCAGGTAATATTTGAGACTGGGAAATCTTTTTTACTTTTACATTTACTTTTATTTTTTCTCAATTACACATAAATAAAATTTTTCTAACATTCATTTTTGTAAACATTTTGAGTTCCATATTCTCTCCTTCCCTCCTGTCCCCTCTCTCCCTTGAGAAGGCAAGCAATTTGATATAGTTTATATGTGCAGTCATGCAAAAACATTTCCATATTAGCCATGTTGCAAAAGAAAATATAGACAATAAAAAGAATAAAAAAATTGAAAAATACTTCAGTCTGCATCCATCAGTTCTTTCTCTGGAGGTGGATAACATTTTTCATTACGAGTCCTTTGGAATTGTCTTGGATCATTGTGTTGCTGAGAAAAGCCAAGTCATTCATAGTTGATCATCATACAGTATTGCTGTTACCTTGTATAATGTTCTCCTGGTTCTGCTCACTTCACCTTGCATCAGTTCATGTAAGTCTTCCTGGGTTTTTCTGAAAGCATCCTGCTCATCATTTCTTATAGCACAATAGTATTTCATTACAATAATATGCTGTAACTTGTTCAGCCATCCCCCAATTGATGGGTATCCCCTCAATTTCCAGTTCCTCGCCCTCACAAAGCGCGGCTAGAAATATTTTTGTACGTACAGAACCTTTTTCTTTTCTTCTGCTAGGCAATGGGGTGAAGTGACTTGCTCAGGATCACACAGCCAGTAAGTGTCAAGTATCTGAGGCTGGATTTGAACTCGGGTCCTCCTGACTCCAGGGCCAGTGCTCTGCCCACTGTGCCACCTAGCTACCCTGAATCTTTTTCTTTGATCCCTTTGGGGATACAGACCTAATAGTGGTATTGTTGGGTTAAAGGAATGTACAGTTTTGTAGCCCTTTGGACATAGTTCCAAATTGTTCTCCAGAATAGTTAGATCACGGACTAGAAAATTCGTTATCCAAGGACTGAGCCCAGAGAGAGAAACAAAAGCATCTGGCCTATAGTCCCTAGCACCTAAAAAATTAAGGCTTCATTACAGGATGGTGGAATTAGAAGGAGTAACTGGGAAAATGGATAAAAATAGTCAGCATTGCAAGGAACCTTAAATCTCGCTGTGTTGGACACCTTGGCCCTCCATGCCTTCTACCACCCATATATCATCAGACTAGTGAAGTTTTTTTCCTGTCAGAAGCAGCAACAGGAGCTGGGCATTTCTGATGCTCATTGATATCAGAGCCCCGCCAAAGATGTTAACAGTGGCTTGTCAGTAAATTGGCTCATTAAAAGTGTATTGAAATTGTTCATAAAATAATCAGGTTACTTCAACGGATGTTTGCTGCTATAGAAATAGTTTCCCCCAAATGACTGAAACCTATGATGACTCTGTGCAATTCAGCACGTCATCTTTATTACATAAACTACTGAAACCACAGAATACATAGGATTGAGTGGAATTTCAGTAGACTAAAAACTATATTCCCAGCTAATTCACTTAGTATTTATAGGTACATTGTTGTTTATTTCATTGCCTTGTTTTGTTGATGTGGATAGACCAACAAACATCAGCATATTTTTTTCCCTAGCACAAATTTATATAATAAAGGCAGGAATTTAGAATGAAGGAGCTAAGGCAGAGGTTGATAATGATGCTTTCCTTCCCACCTCTCCCAACCCCATCCACTTAGCCTCCTTTTTTTTTCCTTTTAGTGAGGCAATGGGGTTTAAGTGAATTGCCCAGGGTCACACAGCAATTAAGCATCGAGTGTCTGAGGCTGGATTTGAACTCAGGTCCTCCTGACTCCAAGGCCAGAGCTCTATCCACTGCATCACCTAGTTGTCTCCCACCTAGTCCTTCTGATGTTATACCAAGGTTAATCTTAATGACATCCAGGAGTATTACTCCAGCCCCATACAGCAACTTGGTAGTTTTGTTGGATTCTCAAAAAAGGTTTGAGGGGATGCAGACTAATAATAAAGCATCTGACAGGTGATAAAATGAATTTTCCAACCCCATGTCAGATGTTTAACTGGGACCACAGACTTTGAGCCAGTATCAGGAGAACTGTTAAAACAAAGAAACTAGAACCTGCCTGCCTGTCTGTCTGTTTGGGTACAGCTGTCACAGCCTTAAGTTAGGTGGAACGAAAGAGCTTTAGCTCTTTCTTGCTAGGAATAAGATCATTAGTGGTTATAGTCTATCAGGTGGTAGAGAGAGCAGGAAGAAAGAGCCTTCTCATTCTTTTTTTTTTCTAGGCAATAGGGTTAAGTGACTTGCGCAGGGTCACACAGCTAGTAAGTGTTATATGTCTGAGGCCGAATTTGAGTTCAGGTCCTCCTGAATCCAGGGACAGTGCTCTATCCACTGCGCCACCTAGCTGCCCTAAGAGGGATCCATCTCTACACTCATTATACCAGATAGCATATAGCTCACGACACCCTGGTGCTAGCAACAAACGGAGATCGTCTGCAGAGATGACACAGCAGAGAGTAGAGATGATACAATTCCCAAGGAGGAGTGAAGACAAAATACCTAGTATTGAGAAGCAGAGAGTAACTCTATCATCACCAGAGGACATTAGAGACTCTGCAATATCAGCTCTGAGAGTTTACCTTGCCACACATGTTACCGTGTAGTTGCTACCCAGAACATTTGTACTTCCTCCATGCATGTCCTTTCAAACATGTTCATAAGGGTAATTCATACTTTCAATACTGCAGAATACTTAGTTCAAGTTTTCCTTTGAATTCTTCAAGTGCAGGTCTCAGATTTCTTATGGACATTTATGACCGTTTTGGCTTGATAGAATTGATTTCATATCAGCTCTAAAGTTTTTTTTTTAAATTAACCTAAATGTCTCAAGTCAACCTGTGGTGCTTTTATGACTGTAGAGTGAAATTCCTTTGCAAGCACCAATGGTAATCTCATGTACTGTCAGTATTTACTGACCATTATCATAATCTGCCACATAGTCCCAACTTTCATCATTCTCTCAATAAAAGGGTACCATCAGTGGAAGGAAACTAAAGTCACACCCTCCCTTACCATCTTACAGCACATTTTGCAGCTCTTCATTATGCAGTTGCTCCCACCATCAGCCAAGCGCAGCCAAGGCTTACAGAGGCATCAAAGACTGGTTTGATGTAATATCGTGTTATCAGTGTCTCTCCACTGATGGCCCTCTTCCTGGTGGAAGTTGCAGACTCTCAGCTTCACTTTCACATGACAGAAGCCTGAGTGAGAGGGATTGCTTTCATCCTTGCTGTGGATATCACTGTGGACTCATGTGACTTACGAGACAGGGTATCTGCAGTCACATTGGCCTTTCCTGGGCAGTGTGTGCTAAACTTAATGTTGTTTGGTCCTCCTATTCATCTTTGATCGGCACATCTGATTTAGCACCGGCCAGAATAGGTTTGACATTCATGCCTACTTGATGCTTCACAAACATGATGTTAGCGTTTGTGAGTGAGTAGAAGTTGACTTGCAAGTTAAGCACTACAATTTGTGTATGAGATGAATCTCACTGTGTCAGCAAATTATCTACTGAAAGATACAACAGGCTTCTGATATACATTGTTCTTCAGGAATAAGACTGCTCCCAGGCCTTTGAGGAGGGGGTGGGGAAGGGAACAAACATTTATTAAGTGCCTGCTAAATACTGGCCATTTGTTAAGCACTTTACAAAATATTATCTCATTTTATTTTCTCAAGAAGCCTGTGAGGTAGATGCTGTTATTATACCCATTTTACAATTGAGGAAACAGAGGTTTGACTGGTTTATTCAGTGTCACACAGCTAGTAAGTGTCTGAGGCCAGATATGAATTCAGGTCTTCCTAACTCCAGGTCCAGCATTCTATCCACTGTGCTGCCAGCTGCCTCCTATCACCTCTTTTAAGCTGTGCTTATTCTTTATCATTTTGCAACATTCATTTTTAGACTTTTTTTGTGATCATGATTTCCATTTCCATTGCTGTAATCACTGCATATGTTTTCTTGGTTCTGTTGACTTCACTCTGCATCAGTTCATATAGATCTTCCATGCCTCTATATATTCATATCCCTAATTTCTTACAGCACAGTAATATTGCGTTATGCTTGTGTACCATAATTTGTTTAGCTATTCTCCAATCAATGGGCATCTACTTCTGATTCTTTGTAATCACAAAAAGTGTTGTTATAAAAATTTTGGTGCACAAGTATAGGGACTTTCTTCTATTCAAAGGCCTCGTTGGAGCATAAGCAGAGTAAGAATATTTTGAGTCAAAAGGTATCGACATTTTATTTGCATAATTCCAAATTGATTTCCAAAATGGCTATACTGATTCACAGCTCTGCTTAATGATGAATTAGTGTGCCTATATTCCCACAACCCCTCCAACGTTAACTTTTCCTCTCTTTTGTCATCTTTGTCAATTTGCAGGTTGTGAGGTAAAACCTGAGAGTTGTTTTGATGTGTATTTCTCTTATTAGTGATTTCTGGTTATTTATAGTTTGCAATTTTTTTTTTTGGAGAATTGTCTGTTCCTATCCTTTGATCATTTGTCTACTGGGGATGGCTTTTGAACTTATAAATTTCTGTTAATTGTTTCCATGTCTTAGATACCAAACCCTTGTCAGAGAAATTTGACATAAAGACCATAAGGTATTCTTGATAATCCTATTTCCATAGTCTGCATCTGGTAGATATTAAGTGTAAATTAGTCAATGGGTTTATTTATCATTAACAGCTCATATAGTCTAGCCTAAACCCCTTCTTTTCCAAACCACCCAACATAATTTCAAACAAATCTGGCAACTGTTATCTGAGTAAATTTTAAACATGAAATGTTAGATTCTGTCTATTGGACACTTTGACAATGTGGTAGCAGAAACAATTTATCATATATTGTGCCAAAGCAGACACAAAATCCATGTGGAACTTAACAGAAATACTAGAAGTTTATCATATTAAGTAAGAATTCAGATGGAACTTAACATAAGAGAATCATATCACTTGCTTGTTTGCAAAATAAAGGTCACAATAGTCTTATCCCATAAAAACTCTAGACCTCAAAAGCTTCTGACAGCAGAGTGAAGATATCACTATTGTTTCTGAGCTGGGAGATTTAATTAATAGACTGATAAGTCTAATAAAACCTTGCTTTTTCCCTATAGCAGAAACTTTGCTTTAGGGAAATCCGGTTCCTTTCCTCACCCTCAAATTGCTTAGTTCTACTTTTTCTTAGAAGAGGATTTTTTCCCCCAAAGACTGGATCTCTCACACTTACCAGGATGGGAGTAGAAGGGGCTACTCACAGGTTCTATCCACTGCTGATTAGCAAAGCACTTTTGACCTCCTCTGTGTCCAACTTGACTGATTTGCCCCTCATGCAACCTTATAGCTCCCTGTTCCTAGGGGCTCTCCACAATGATGCCAAACTTGGTGCAGGCAGCCAATTGGCTTCACTCACTATACCTCAGAACTCTTCAGCTCAAGTGATCTACCAACCTCAATTTTCTGGTTAGCAGAGATTACAGGCATGTGCCACCATTCTTGTTCAGAAAATGTTATAAACTTCAAAGGGAAAGACATAGTTAAGCTATATAACTAAATGCCATGCAAATGAAAAAAAAATTACTTACATCAGACATAGATAAGGTATAGCCAAAATCTTTTCTTCCATTTATCTCCCAGATAATAAAATTTGCTTTAACTTCTTCAATGAATCTGCCACCCTCATATCTGGAAGAAATGATAATCACAAGAACTTAATGCTTAGTAATGTCAGCTTTGGGATAGTTGGGTTTCTCAAACTCTCATCAGTTCTTTGCAACTCATCCTGTGAGACACAAAAATCTCAGAATATACAGCAGTGGCTATTGGGGAATAACTCTGGAGGTTGTGATTGTGTCCAAAGATTAGATCGGGTCAAGGAAAATTCTGGGATAAAAGAGAGAGAGAGAAAAGTGGTAGATGGACTTGTATCTTGAAGGGAGACATGTGGTTAGCCTTAGTACCTTAGGATGCATTTCCCTAGTCCTTCATCCAGAGGGACTGTGAGATCTATTGTTGGGTGAGACAACCCGTCACAAACATGATTCATTTTTCTTCTAACCAAACCAAAGAGAAATCAATAAACTGCCCCTTTCCAATACCAAAGCAGGAAACCCTTCCTATTCCCTCTTAAGGCAGACTGTTCCCCTTTAAGACATATCTCCTTGTTAGGAAGTTTTTCCTGACACCAAGTCTGGACTGGTCTCTCTAAATTGTACTCATTATTCCTAGTTCTTCTCTCTGGGGACAAAAAGAACAAATCTAATCCCTCTTCCATACCACAGCCTCTTTAAATATTTGAAGATCTGTATTCCCTAAGACTTTTCTTCAGGCTTTCCATGTCCTTAGTTCCTTCAAGTGGTTCTCATATGTGATGAACTCAAGAAGCTTCACCAAACTGGATGGCAAATGCCCTCCTTTTGATGTTCTCTAACTTACCAAAGCTATTCTTGAATATGGCGACTAGAAATATATCTTCCCTCTGTTGATTGTCTCTAACTTGTTTGTACTTAGTTGTTTGCACGTTGTCTCTCCAATTAGGTTGTAAGCTCCTTGAGGGCAGGGCTGTCTTTTATCTTTCTTTGTATCCTCAAATACTTCTCACAGTGCTTGGCACATAGAAGGTGCTTGTTAATAAATGCTTGTTGATGGACTGACAGTATGATAGATATGGTCTGACCAGAGCAGAGTATATAGCAGGACTATCGCCTCCTAATTCCTAGAAACCAAGCCTTTCTTAATGCAGATCACCCTCACATTTTTGGGTGCCATATCACACTGTTTACTCAACCCCCAGATCTTGTATGTGTAGCCAATTTTTGGTATGCAAATTGACTTAATATTGACTTCTATTTTCTTGCAAAACTTCCTTGAAGGCAGGAGTTATCCTTTGCCTTTCTTTGTATCCCCAGCACTCAGCCCGGTAGCTGTTTAATAATGGATAGAGCACTGGGCCTGGATTCAGGAAGACCTGAGTTTAAGTCTGGCCTCAGACACTTACTAGCTGTGGAACCCTGGACAAGTCACTGATTTTTGTTTGCCTCAGTTCCTCATCTGTAAAATGAACTGGAGAAGGAAATGGCAAATCGCTCCAGTATCTTTGCCAAGAAAACACCAAATGGGGTCAGGGAGAGTCGAACGCAACTGAAAAATGACTGAACAACAAGAACGTTTATAGGCTTCATCAATAAATTTCAAACCCCAAAATATTCTGTGACAAATTTAGTTTTGGAAATACTGATCTAGAAAATGAAATATCCTGTGGTCCAAATGCTTTTAATTATTAGAAATCTTTATCAGTTAAAAAAAGCTTGTGATTGGGTGGTTGTGTTAGAGGTGTCTCGCTGAGTGTAGATCCTCCACTCAGCACTTGCCCCACCCCCCAGTTGTGAAAGGGTTTTAGGAGTCTGGAATTACCTCTGCACCTCCCTCAGTACCATCCCATCGTGTACACATCTAGTACCTTCTGTAATTTCCCTTTTGCTACAAACAAAAGACAGAAGATATAGAAACCTATTTTTTTAATATTTGATTTGTGATCAAGGTGAAAAGGTTCTGTGAGGAGGAATAAAAGGAAAAATTAAGAAAAGTTAGTTAGGAAAGCAGTCTATTCAATAGAGATATATTAATACTTTTTTTTTTTTAGGCAATTGGGGTTAAGTGACTTGCCCAGAGTCACACAGCTAGTAAGTGTCAAGTGTTTTGTCTGAGGCCGTATTTGGACTCAAGCCCTCCTGACATCAGGACCAGTGCTCTATCTACTGTGCCACCTAACTGCCCCCATATTAATACATTTCTAAAATGACCACTTTAGTCTCCTGTATGTGCCATTCCATTTTCAGCACAGGCTGTCACCAATGACTGGAATGATGTACTCCCTCTTTACCTTTGACTTATAAAATTCCTAGGTTCCTTCAAAGCGCCACTCAAATGCCCTCTCATGTATCTACTTTGTATATATTTTGCATTGATTTTTCTTTGTGTGTTGTTTCTCCTAAGAGAAAAAAAGTTCTTTGAGGCTAAGGTCTATTTTATTTTTGTCTTTGTATCTCTAGTCCTTAACTACTATGAACAAAGTAATTTCAGGAGAGTAGGATACTAATAAATGGAAGAATCAAAATAGGTTCTTTCTAGCTTTAAATCTATGATCTTATCATGCTATGATTTTAGAAGAGGGAGCAGGTATGAGATGGAAGAGAATGGGATCATGTTGAATTTGAGATGCCTCTGAGACATCTAGCTTGAAAGGTCCAAAAGGCACTGGGGACTGGTACAAGATCTGGATGAGTAGATCTGGAATTCATCTGCACTGGGACACATAATTGGGATAAATAATTTCCCTCACCCTCACATGTCCAAACAGTTGCAAAATATTGTCATTTCTCCCTGCACATATTTAGAATATGTTTCTTCTCTGCCTTTGCAAGCTACCATCCTAGGTAATAAGGTTTCTATAGATGATCCTCATCACTACCTCCATTTCTATCATTCACTTTTGTAATGACCCCCTTATGGAATCTATCTTTTTTCATTGATGATTAAGCTAGACTTTATAGGTTATGTGATTTGGGGATGTAAATTGATTTAATTTGTTTTTTTTTAAGTATCTTATTTCAATTTCCCTTTGATTCTTCTTGTATTGGAATAGAAGCTTTTGATGACCTGGATTGCTTTTACTTAACTTGTAAAGAGCTTGAGGTAGTTAGGTGGTATAGCCTTGGCCTGGAATCAGACTCAGACACTTATTAGCTATATGATCCTGGGCAAGTCCTCTGGGTCAACCTCTGTTTGCCTCAGTTTCCCCTTTCCTTGACCCTGACTTGCCTACATGATTTGTTTAATTGTAGAGACCTGATATTTGCCCACAATATTTCTTGGTGACTTAAATTTGAGATTTCTGTCAGCCTATGGATTCTATTGAAAAATAAAATAAAGTGTACTTTATACACTCTAATACTTCTGGGAAATTTTCTTATGGGATATACTGAGGCCTGTATTTAGGTTTTTTCTTTCATTTTATTTTTCTGAAAAACCTATATTCTTTGGATTATCCCTGCATATTCTATTGTCACAGATTTATACAATTTCAGAGTTAGAAAGAATTTCATTGATCATCTGGTTTAAGCCTTTTCATGAAAAAGAATCCTCTCTACAATATACTTGACAACTTGTCATCTACCCTTTATTCAAAGACTTCAAGTAAGGGGGAACTCACTGCTTCAAAACAGCCCATTCCACTTTTGGCTAGTTTTAGTTATTAGGAAGTTTTTTCTCAAATCAAGTGTAAATGTGCCTCTATGCAAGTTGCACCCACTTTTGCTTGTTCTTATATCTGGGGCCAAACAGAATAAGTCTAACCCAGCTTTTCTTTTTTCCTGTGCATTTTCCTCATGATTCTTTCTTTCCTTTCCCATTTTTGTTATTTGTTGTTATTCTTTTACTCTACTTGGCATATTTCTTGCTATTTTGAGATGGCGGAAGGGATCTGGCCTTAGATTCAATTTCTACTGTCTGCCTTGTGGAAAGCACACCAAACTTAGAGTCAAGATCTAGGTTCAAATTCTGGGGGCCATCTCTAGTTGTCCTGATGTATATCTGGCCACTGAACCCAGATGGCTCGGGAGGAGAAAGTGAGGCTAGTGAATTTGCACAGCCCTCCCTAACTTTAATCTAATTCACTTGCATGAGGGGCAGCTAGATGGCACAGTGGATAGAGCACCAGCCCTGGACTTAGGAGGACCTAAGTTCAAATCCGGTCTCAGATACATAACACTTACTAGCTGTGTGACCCTGGGCAAGTCACTTAACCCCATTGCTTAGCAAAAAACCAAACCAAAACAAAAACTAATTCACTTGCATGTCATGGCATCACCTCCCTGATGTCATGGTCCTCTTCAAGAACAAAGGATAAATAGCAACCTCTGTGAATTGAAAAGGAGCTGCTCGCTGGGGACCAAACTGAAACTGGCCAGTTGGGCAATCCTTCCATCCTTCCTTCCTTCCTTCCCTCCCCCTCTGTCCACATAAGGCATCACACCCTTACCTTTGGGGTGCTTTGCCCAAAGGGAATATAAATTTTAATCTACAAAACTTTTTTTCTTTCTTAAAGGCCAGCCTTAACCTCAAATCATTCTGGCTCTCATCGATTGGCCAATAATAGGTCCCAGGCCAAGCCCAACTTGGTCATTGTTTGAGTCTCTATTGGTTTAGAATGAATGTAAATAACAATTGTTTTCTGTTTTGGCTGACCTTAAGGGTCTTTCCTTCCCAGATAATTTTTTTTTTTGGATTTGGTAAAGAGGCCATTTTCTGCCTCATTTCTTATTAAGCCTTGATCACTGAATGGGCACTGCAATGAGACCTGTTAAAGACCTTAGCATGAAAAGGCTAAGGTCCCCCACTGCATCCTGGCCCATCTCCAGTTGTTCTGACCTATATCTAGCCATTGGACCCAGATGGCACCAGAGGACAGAATGAAGCTGGTGACTTTGCACAGCACTCCCTCACTTAAATCCAATTCACTTGCATGTCATGGCATCACTTCCCTCATGTCATGGTCCTCTTTGAGAATGAAGGACAAAGAACAACAATAAAGGTTCAAATTCTAATTCTGCCGTTTACTACTAATAATGGTGATTACCTTAAATAACTAGCATTTATATAGGATGTTGAAGTTTGTAATGTCCTTTATATACATTATCTCATTTGATCCTCACAATAACCCAGGGATGTTGGTGCTTTTATTATCCTGATTTTACAGATGAGGAAAATCAAGCTAAGAGAGGTCAAATGATTTAGTCAAGGTCACACAGCCAGAAGATACCTGAGACAGGATTTAAACTCAAGTATTCTTTGCTCCAGGTCCAGTATGTTACACACTACACCACAGAGCATTTACTATCTGTTTGACCTTGGGCAAGAGCCTTCACCTCTCTTGGTCTTAGCTTCCTCAACTATAAATGAGAATATTGGACACATCTCTTAGGTCCCTTCCAACTCTAGATCTATGGCCTTGTGATCATATGACATTTAAATGAAGGGGTTGGACTAAATGACCTCTATGGTCCCTCCTAGCTCTAAAGTTATGATCTTCTCAGAAATCTTGCTGAAAATTGAACACCAAATTTAATTAGGACAAACCCTAGGTTTTACTTATTGACTGTAAGATTAAAGGAGAAGGACTGTGTAATAAAATCTTTGTAGGATTGTTCCAAAGGTTTTTGGATAATTGGATTACTAAAAGATGGTTGCTTAGTAATCATTTAATATGGTTAAGACATTGTAGATATCTATAGCAGAAAAAGTTTTGGATTTGGGGTCAAAAGACCTTAGTTTGAATACTGGTTCTACCTCTTACTACCTCTAGGATCTTGGGGAAATAACTTCATCTCTCAATACCTTGGCTTTTTCATCTATAAAATGAGGATGAAACAGATAATCTCTCTTAGTCTTTCTAGCTGAAATCTGATGGGGCTGATGGAATAATGGTGATGAGGATGGGAGCTAGACCCCAAAAAGGAAAAACCCTGGACTTTCCCACATGGCCAAATCTCTGCCTTTAGCCTGAGGCTACGATCCCATCAGCTGGCCTTTCTTTGTGGCTATTCCCATTCTTCTACTCTTAACCTAGCCTAGACCTCCCTATGTTCCTCGGCCACTTCCCACCCTCAATCCTATCTAGGCTCCATTCTCTCTAGGCCACCACTGGAGTTCTATTACCTCATAGACTACTTGGCCACTCCTAGATCCCTCCCATAGTCTTTCTGTATATAAGGTCCATCTTGTCTCCATTAAGATGCTCAGATTCCTCAAATCTAGCCACTGCTTAGATTCTTATAAACTAGTCAGTAAGCCAATAGCTTACTAATGTTCAGACTCCTTAAGAGTCTGCCCAATATGATGGATGTTCTCACAAACCTTGTCTTTGGCTGAAAGAAGGCTTGGGCCAAATTCTTTTGGACAGGACCCGGGTGTTGTGATTTTGGGGTCCCAGGACCCCTGAACTCCTAAACCGCATCAATGGGACCCCTAAAAAAAAGGGCCCATGAACTTTCCCACAAATTTCAGCAGCCCAGATTTCTGGTGTTTGCCTGAGGCATCTGCATCTGGCCTATCCCAGTATAATCCTTTCAACTGTCCTTTTTTTTTTTTTTTGGTGGCCTCTGACCCAGCCAAGCCCTTCATTCTGTTACCTTGGGACTACCCCAGGCTACTTGCCAGTCCTTAATCCTATCCAGTTTTTCTCAGTCTTTTTCTGTATAAAAATATCAGTCCCATCCTCATCAAATTAAGAATCTGTTCCACTTGTATTGGTGTCACAAATACCATAGACTCACTAGGAATCTTGCCTATCCCAACCGATGTCTGGTGTCTTAATAAACTTGCTACTTGGACTGAAAGAAGGCTTGAGTGGTTGAATTCTTTTGAGGCAGACCCCTACCATGTACTCTTGCATTTTGGGGTTCCTAGCACCCCTAGACTACAACATATTTACTCCAAAATGCCTATCTTCTTCTCTTGTTTGAAGGAATAAGAAGCTATAAATTATTGGGAACATTATCTAATGAAAAAGTAAATTAATGACCTCTGGATTTAAAATGGCCTTCAGGATGGTTCAGAATTATAAACATTACTACAGTGACAATAATGTATTTCTTCTTCATAGCAATACCAATTAGAATGAATTACAAATATCATTATGAGAATAAAATATTGAATTAAGCGATTTATTCCATTAGTGTTTGTCATAAAATTTTACAGCTAGAAGGGACCAAGATATGTATTGAAAATCAGATGTCACTCACTTGAGCTGGTAAGTAACTTTGTTTATAGCTCTTAATTTGAGGAATTAGGTATCCTATCAAATGAGGGTAATATCTGTAAAGTGCTTAGCATAGGGGAACAAAGTAGGTGCTTAAAAAACACTTATCTCCCTCCCTCCCTGCCCACCTCTATTCAATGGGTAGGCAGTTCACAAATCATACCTCTCAAAGAAACAGAAACAATATTCACTGGTGCCACTGCTCTGGCAAGATCACATTGTTAGCTCCTGAGTTTCCCAGATGGTGTGGAAGGTAATGGCTTTTTTCTGATCTCTTATAGCAACTACACTATTCTTTAGCTATTTTTGTGATATCTTAATCTTTCAGGTTGGAATGGATCATCTCAAGAGTCTAGAGAAACTAAATCTCCTTGTGTTCATAGATAGACAGTATCCAGTAGTGCGAATCTAGATTTCTTGTCTTTATCAATAGTGCGCTCCCTAATAGCTGGTGGAAGACTTGAGGCATTGTAAGATCACAGATGAAACAGTAGGATAACTGTATCAGTAACCATTACAATAAGTGTAAATTATCTGTTGAAAACCAAGAACTAAGTTTTTTTTTGGTGCATTTATGATTTGACTCAAGATTCTAAGGGGGAAAGGAAGGAATGACTCTGATAATGACCCTGAAGAACAGAATTTAAAGCAAATTTAAAGTGAAACAAAATGGTCATTAGCAATGACCTAAAAATATATACATAGTGAACTTTCTTAGTGAAAACAAACAAACAAAAACCTGTTTTTGGCCTATGGTGGTCAGTTAGTCATGTTTTTAATTCTATTATTTGGAAAAATGCAAGATAAATTGGAAAATATTACTTACAAATGAAGGACAGGGTGGAATGATTTTGTCATAGAAATTTTGATAGGGCAGCCATATTTGCTAATATTATAGTTTATAAACTAGAAAAGAAAAAAATGCATTAGTTATTGTTATGTATTTGACCTATGGACAAAAAATTCATGTTTTCTTACCTTGTCTTCAGGTGGATTGCCCCTCAAATATTTCCTAATAAAAAGGAGACATTTTAAAATACTGAAGTTTTACACATTAAAAACAATGCATTTCTGGTCTAAAACAAATTTAATTTCCATAACTTCACTATGCAAACAAATAAGGATCTCATCTTTTAACTGGTGTTTAGGATGGAGGAGATTAAATTAAGCTAAGGATTATAAACCTAATTTTGCAGTCTTAAGGAATATTTGGAAATAAAGTTTTTTACTTTAATGAAAAATACATGTTTTTTTTAAAAGAGAAGGATAATAATCTTCAAGAAACAAAAATAGGGTGTCACATCCATAAAATAATTGGGAAATCACTGACATATATCGTCTCTTAAAGTGAAAAGCAAATGAGACAGCATGGTATAGTGGACAGATGGCCGGCCTTGGAGTCAGGAAGATCAGGGTCAAGTCTTACTACCTCCAACATACCACCTATATGACCATGGGAAAACCTCTCAGCATTTCAGTGCCCTGAGGCAATTTTTCTGGGGCTGTGAATTATAGGTTATTTACATAGATGAAGGGAGTTTCCACACAAAGATGAGATATACCTTTGGTGAAGGAAAAGAAAGTTCCTTCTTGATGGTTCTAGATTTCTTTTGACTACACCATACCCAATTTTTGTCAGATTCCCCAATGCCACTTATGGTGGGAGCAATATCTACTAGAATCCTTGCCACATAGGCTGGGCTAGCTTTTTCCTAAGGCATTACTCCCAGCAGGGTTGACTTTTTTTTCATTAAAAGGTACTGAAACCATCTGTGAGATGCAGTTGACCCAGAAGTCTAAGGCTGAAACCATAGGCTTCAGTACAAAATGTGGCCCATGAGAAATCAATAGTTCCTCACTTGACACCAATGGTACCACCATAGCAAATACAGAGATAGGGAAGCTATGTCCAATTTAATCAATGCTGTATCCTTGATTAATAATCCTTCCATGTTATGGCTAAACAAACTTCTTTTTGATTAACTGTTTGATGGTCTACATATGTATCTGTTCATTCCAGTCTTGAACCTAAACTACAAGATCAGCCTGTGTTAGGCCTGGCCTACAATACCACAGGAAACCAGGCAGCCTGGTGGTATAGGAGATTGACAGAATCTGGTGAGGTCTTTGGATCCCTTCTCCGGATAAGATTTTTAAATGCATAAAATAAGATAAATATAATTATAAAGGGAATCAATTATGGTAGAATAAAATTATTAAAATATTAAGAAAAGAAAACCCTAAGTTTACAGATATCAAGTTAAGAAACCCTGGTTTAAAAGCCAACTAGTTGGCATTCTGTGAAATTGTATCTTCAATTATAGATAAATTGATAGGCTATTTTCAACTAGAAGACATGAGGAAGGCTATTTTCAACTAGAAGACATGAGGAAGTAGATAATTGGAAGAACAGTTTATAGAATTCTCAGTGTTGAATAAATGAGTTGGGTGGGGTTTATAGGTATTCAGGGAGGACTAGCACCTCTGGTGAGTGGGCTTCCAAGTTGTTTCAGAGCTGCTCATCCCCCTTTGGTGTCCATCTGCCACCCAACTCTCACCTGTGTCTCTGAGAAGCTATAGTATGCACAATGGCCACACCCCAGTAAAACAATCTCGGCAGACAGGCATAACCAGGTTGAGGGTAACGGAGGGGTCTCAAACCTATTGGTGAGTTGGGGAAATGTCTACTCCAAACATGTGAAGAATTCCCCCAGCAGAATGGGAGGATGATAACAATTTGTTTCAATGGCCATGAGGGCGGCTGAAGCAGGCACTATGGAGCACTTAGAGCCTGTTTAGACATCAAAGATGCCAAGGTCATCTGCTGCATCCCAAGCCACTGCCAAACATCTTGACTTTTGTCTTGCCACTGGACTCCAGTGACTTTGGAAGAGAGAGTGAGGCCAACAACTGCACAGCTCTGCCTCACTTGAATCCAATTTATGCATGAATCAAAAGACAACACCCATCCCATTTTACCATTTTTACCTGCCTCAAAATCCTTTGGCAACACACAAGTGACAAAGCGTCTGGTACAGATACACTGGGAGCTGTAGTCACAACCCTGAACACAGGTGACCAGGCCATGGGTTGTCTTCTCACTGTACTGAAGCAGCAGTGGAATTCAACAGCCCTCTAGGTATCTGAACATACTTATTTAACTGTACTCCTCACCTCCTGGTATGAGGAAGGGGCTTAGAAAAGATTTCCTAAAAATTGTCCTCTTCACCTAACTTAATGCTGGCCTGCTTATTGCAGCAGGCTGGGATCCTGCCCTATGGTCAAAACACAAAAAAAGATGAATCTACTTACCACTGGTACATAGAATGTATACATGCTTATGGACAATGTGAAATCCAGTAGACCTGAAAGATGAATAGCTCTTGTAGCAAGAGAGCTTGGCAAGTATTGCATCCAAATAGCAGCCCTGAGTGAAACAAGGCTGGCAAATGAAGGCCAGCTTATCAAAGTCAGAGTGGAATGCATTTTTTTTGAGTGGCTGCAGTGATGAGGAGCACTGTGAAGCTGGTTTTTCAATTAAAGCTAATCTAGTCAACAAGCTTGTATGCTTTTCAGAAGGATGGAATGACAGGCTCGTGACAATGTGATTGTCACTTGCAGGAAAGCATCACGTCACTATCATCAGTGCCTATGCCCCCACCATGATGACTCCTGATGAGGTCAAAGAAAAATTTTACCAAGACCTAGAGACCCTCATCTTCAGCGTGTCGAAAGAGGACAAGGTTGTAATTCTGGGTGATTTTAATGCCAGAATGGGCAGAGACTATGAGTTCCTGGGAGGAATAGAGCTAGAGACAGCAATGGCAATGTTACTACTGAAGAGTTGTGCGTTTCATGACCTTCATATCATCAACACTGTCTTCTATCTACCTAAACTCAATAAAGCTTTGTGCATGTACCCTTGCAGCAAATACTAGCATTAAATAGACTATGTTATTGTAAAGAGAAGAGACAGAAAGCATGTGAGAATGACACAGGCAACAAGTGGCGCAGAGTGCTGGACTGATCATAGATGTCTTTTCCCAACTAAACATTCACATTTCACAAAAGTGGTGGCCCCAAGGCAAGATGATTACCATAAGACAATGCCAATATATTAGAGCTCTTCTAGAATGAACAGTTTGCTAACTTGGAGGGAAATCTGAGCCAAGACATGGTTGGCATCAGTGGAGCAGAAAAGGAGTGGGTAACTTTCAGAGATTTGGTGTACAGCACTGCATTTACTCATCTGGGCCAGAATATTCACAAACATCAAGACTGGTTTGATGAAGATGATGGGGAAATTCAGAAGCTGCTAAATGAAAAATGAGAACTCCACAGGGTTTACCAGTAGGATAGTTCATCCATCTCTTAGAAGGCAGCATTTAGCTTAGAGAGATGCAGAATTCTTGGTTCAGCAAGAAGGTAGATGAAATTCGATTCATGCTGTTAGTAATAATCCAAAGCATTCCTATGATGCCCTGAAGGCTATTTATGGTCCAAAGACCTATGATATAACTCAGTTCCTCAGGACAGATGGAGCCACAATGATTAATGATAAGAACATGATACTGGAGACATGGGCTGAACACTTCTATAGTGTTCTCAACAGATCATCATTAGTCAATGGTGAAGTCGTTGATCGTATACCTCGGGTTGAAGTCAAGCCATCTCTAGCACAACTTCCAACTGAAGAAGAGGTTTTGAATACTTTTAGGCTCCTCTTGTGCGGCAAAACACCTTGTGCTGATTCTATTCTAGCTGAGATTTACAAGGCAGGGGGTCCATTACTCATTCAAAAGCTGACTGAAATCTTCCAGATTATGTGGGGAGAAGGTTATTCCCCAGAAGTTCAAGGATGCCTCCATTGTCCATCTGTATAAAGGAAAAGGAAATAGATTGTCCCATGACGATCACAGGGGTGGGGTGGGTGTCTTTCTCTTAGTTACTGCCAACAAGGTTTTTGTCAGAATCCTCTTTAAAAGACTGATCCTTCACCTGGAGGATTTGACAACTCCAGGAGAAATGCCAGGAGCAGAATAGAGGTCTATATACAATGTTTGTTGATCTGACCAAGGCCTTTGATACTGTCAGTCATGAGGGCTTGTGGAAGATCATGGCAAAATTTGGTTGCCTGGAGAAGTTCATCAGTATTATATGCCAATTCCACGACGGCAGGCTTGCATGGGTTCTGGATAATGGATGATGCTCTTGTGCTTTCCCAGTCACCAGTGAAGTGAAGCAGAGCCGTGTGCTTGCTTCCATGCTTTTTAACTTGATGTTTTCAGCAATGTTGTCAGATGACTTCAATGAGGATGAAAATGGCATCAAGGCCAGCTACTGCATTGACGGTAAATTATTGAACTTGAAAAGGCTACAAACCAAGACTAAAGTGGAGGGAGAGTTGGTGCTCAACTTTTTCTTCACAGATGATTGTGTACTCAATACAGCCTCTGAGGCTGAGATGCAACAGAGTATAGATCAATTCTCTGTCGCTTGTGCTAATTTTGACCTGACAGTTAACATCAAGAAAACAGGTTCTCCACCAGCCAGCACTGTACCATCCATATGTGAAATCTTTGGTTACAGCAAATGGAGAAATTTTGAATACTGTGGATAAATTCACTTACCTTGGCATTATACTTTCCAGGGATTGACACATAAGATGATGATGAGGTTGATGCACTCATTGCCAGAGCTAGCTTAGTCTTTGGGAGGCTCTGAAGGCAAGTGTGGGAGAGCAGAGTAGTATTAGACTGCCTACCAAACTGAAGGTCTACAGAGCCATTGTGCTGATCTCATTGTTGTATGCCTGTGAAACTTGGACAATATACCAGCACCATGCCAGGAAACTGAATTGCTTCCATGTGAATTGTTTTTTGAAGATTCTGAAGATCACTTGGCAAGATAAGGTACTTGAAACTGAGATCCTTTTTCAAGCTAAACTGCCAAGCATTTAAACTCTACTGCAGAGAGTGTAATTCCTATGGGCTGGCCACATTGTTCGATGTTAAATGTACATTTGCCTAAAAGACTATTTTACAGAGAACTTACATAAGGCAAGTGCTCACACAGAGCCCAGAAGAAGTGATACAAGGACACTCTCAAGGTGTCTCTGAAGAACTTTGAATTGTGAGACACAGGAGATGCTGGCATGGTGTGCCTGCATCAAAGAAGGAGCTGTGCTGTATGAGCAAAGTACAATTGCAGCTGCTCAAAAGAAATGTGAGATGCACAAATTTGGAGACATCTCTAATCTAACTGTCCACGTGTGCTATTTGTGCCCAACCTGTGGTAGAGCCTTCTGAGCTCGCATTGGTCCCGATCAATAACAGTTAGACATGCTGTACCTTGACCCCCCACATAGTGATGTCATTTTGGTCCTCTTTGAGTATGAAGGACAACAACCACCACCGTAAATGAGTTGGGGTCCAAGGAGGAGTTGGTTTCATTATTACATAGGATTCTTTGGTCACCTTGCCTTACAGTGTTCATAATGTTGTTGTTCAGTTATATCTGAATATCTGTGACCTCGTTTGGGGTTTTCTTGGCAAAGGTACTGGAGTGGTTTGCTGTTTCCTTCTCCAGCTCATTTTACAGATGAGGAAACTGAGGCAAACAGGGTTAAGTGACTTGCTTAGGGTCACACAGCTAGTAGGTGTCTGAGGTCACATTTGAAATTGGGTCTTCCTGACTCCTGGTCCAGCCCTCTATCCACTGTGTTACTTAGCTGCCCTAGTGCTCATGATAACTATATACAAAAAGGTCATGATGAAGATAACTACAGCTAATGCACCGACCTCTGTTGAAGATAACTGTAGTAAAGACAAAAAAAATTTCCCTCTCCTTTGTTGGAAGCTCTTCTCTTTTGTCATTAGCCCCTATGCTAGGAGGAAGAAGCCTCCAGCCTTCTTTTTGGAAAGGTGCAACAAAGATCCGTGGGTAATATGTATGTAGGGCCAAGATGTTCTGAAGGAAGATAGGAAGTGGAAAGGTGGCTAGAGAAATGTCGTTCCAAATCCCAACACTTAGTTCTTGGGTTAGGAGATATTGAAGCACACTTGCCTGGGTACTGGAGAAAGAAGGAGAAAAATAGCTAAGGATTTGCCATAATCTCTATCAAAATGGAAGTCAGATTTTTGTTTACTAATCTTTAAAGAGTATCGGGATGTTCCCATGGACACCTGGAACAATGCTGGTGAGGGAGAGTTTTGCGACGCAGGTGCAAAACCACCTTGATACTTCAATGGATCTTATTTTTATAGGTTCTCCCCCTATTGGTTCAGAATGCAACCCAGCCATACTTTGTTATAACTCTTGTCCATGTGCTCCCCTAAATCCTCCACAAGAAGTCTAGCTAATATTTTGTGAGCTTCCTTTGGATTGTTTTTTGCTTTTTTTTTGGTGAGTCAATTGGGGTTAAGTGACTTGCCCAGGGTCACCCAGCTAATAAGTGTCAAGTGTTTGAGGTCGGATTTGAACTCAGGTCCTCCTGACTCCAAGGCTGGAGCTCTATCCACTGCACCACCTAGCTTCTGTGAGCTTCTTTAAAGACTTCTGCGTACTTCATATGTTTATTGCCACAATTGCTATTGTTTATTGTTACATGACTGTCCCATTTTCTTTTTGCAGCATACATCTTCCTGGTGACATCTCTTCTTGCACATTTCTTTGTTGGTGAAATAATGAAATCTACCACCCACCATGGGCCTCTCTATTGTCCTTAGGGTGACCAGAAATCTGAATCCTTTGGAGACTTGCATCTATATAGTATAATTAGAAGAATATTGGTGTTAAAAAGATGGCTCTTTGTTTCAGGTGGAGCTTTGAGTTTATTAAAAACACTGCACGATTTCCAAATGTAAGCTAGCTGGCTTTTCTCATATATTAAATTCTGGGCTTACCCATCTATAGTACTTGTTCAAGGTATATGTATCTATGGACCAGCCCTATGTCCATCCAACTGCATATCACATTCTGGCCAGTAAGGCATTCTTCATCCACTCTGTTTTTCCTGTGTGTATAGTTAGTCAAATAGGTTAGATTTGGAGTCCAGAAAATCCAAGTTTGAATCCTGCCTCAGACACTTATTAGCTATATGACTTTCACCTCTCTAAGCTTCAGTTTCCCTCTCAGTAAAATGGGGACAATAATAACTCCTGCTACAAAGAGTTGTTGTGATCATCAAACGAGGTAATGTGTGTAAAGTGCTTTACAAACTTTAAAGTGATCTGTAAGTACTATTGTGAAATAATTTAATCACATTTTTATTTATGCCTTTTAAGTTTCTACATCATCCTAATTTGTGAATACATGATTTTCTCTGTAACAGAAAATGAATAACTGAAAACTGAGGTAAGACAGAAGTGTTTCATTCTCATTGTGCTTATTTTCTTTGCCAAGGAGAATGACCTTTGTATTGGACCTCAAAGAACAAAAATGGCTATTGTAACATTAACATGCTCACCCTTTACTATAAACTGGCCTACTTGCTACTTCTGATAAGACAGAATTCGATTTCCCCTGTGCCTCTTGCACAAGAGGTGCCCTGTACAAAGAATGAATTCCTTTCTAAACTTTCCCTCTTAGAATCTCCAGCTTCTTTCAAGACTCAGCTCCAGAGCTACTGGAGGTCTGTCCCAATTCCCCCCAATTGCTAGTGCCCTCTCTTGGAAATTACTGTGTAATTACTTTGTATATGTCTGTGTTTACTTCTCTGTGTACATGTTATTTTTCCTCAGTAGACTGTAATTTTCCTGAGGATGGTGACTGTTTCATTTATGTCTTTGTATCCTTAGTGCCTAGCACAATGCCTGGTATGTAGTAGGGATAAGGATTAGATCTGTGATTTCATTGGCACTGAGAATTGTTGGAAGAGGAAAAACACTCTACCAATGCATGTTGGGACCTTTTCTGCAAATTAGAGATAGTGGTCTGGGACTCTGAGATTAAGGGACTTGCCCAGGATTACATAAACAGTATGTGTCAGACAGAGGGTTTTCCTGGATCTAAGACCAGTTCTCTAACCACAATGCCATGCTGTCTCTTGAATAAGTTAGTGAATTAGAATGTTTTATACTTAGGAAAGCTGTTGTTAAATCTGAATCGTTTCTCCCCAGTGAATGTTCTTTGACCACAAATATTGAATAAGCAGTACCCTTATTAATACAGAATTCTGCTACTTTGATATTATTAAAATATTTCTTACTTTTCAATGACATAAGTAGCATTTTTACCCTGACATAGGTTTTCCTTATATCTGTGAAAAAAAATGGAAGAGTATCAATAAAAACAAATATCATAGAGTGATATATTTTTATATTTATAAGATAATATTTAGACTATTTAATGGTGTATGAACACAACCTAAAGTTTCTCCTACCTTTGCATTTGTTCATGTGGTTTTATCTGCCTGGAATCCATTCCATTCCCCTTCCACTTTTATCAGAGTCAGAATAAACATTTATTAAGTGCCTACTATGTGCTAGGCGCTGTGTTAAGTGCTGGGTTATAAAGGCGTAAGATAGTCCCTGCCCACAAGGAGCTTACAAACTAATGGAGAAAGGCAACACATAAATACAAGCTGAAAAGATGGGTTTGGGAGAATAAAGAAGTAGGAAAGTGGGAAGGAGGATGATAAAGTCTTGCAGCCAGGGTTAGAAATGATCTGAGGAGGTGTGAGTTACCAGGCTGAATTCATTTTGCAAAATGATGAGTTTCTGGAGATCATGCAATACAGCAGATTAGCCGACAAAGATTTTGCCAAAATCTGGGCCATTCTTCAAAGCCCATCTCAAATGTCAACTTTTTAAAGGAAGCCTTTTCTAATTTCCCCAGCCAGGTAGGATCTCTCTTTCCTTTGTACCCTCATATTTTCTGTGCCTCTTTTATGGAACTTAACATTCTGACTTAACTTATTATTATGTTCTTGTCCTATCACCTTTTCTAGACTGTAAGTTCCTAAAGTGCAAAGACAGTGTAGCAATTAATCATCATGGAAGACCTGACATGTTCTAGCTCAGAATTTTGCTGTGGGCATTCAAGAAATACTTTTTGAATTGAATTTAATCCTTGTTAAATATCTGACAAAGTCAAGTAAAATTGTTTGAACCATTTTGTAGCTATACTTATTCTTTTTTTAGATGGACTTATTCTTTCTTCTAGATTTTAGTGATTGAAAGCAGAAGACCTGCTTTTTAGACCATCTCTTAGACAAACCCATTTCACTGATGTCCAAGTTATGCTAATTCTGCTTGTTCTGGCTGTCTTCAGAAAGCTCAGTGGGAGTGCTGATCGCTACTACAATCCAGGCACCTAATTTCAACTCTTCTAGTCAAACTGATTAAGCAGTAATGTATACTGATTGAACTGCTACAGAGTTTTGAAACTAGATTTGGAAGGTCTCAGAGAGGTAATAGGTTCCCTCTCCTTGGAAGTAGAGCCTGGATGATCACTTTTAAGGCATGTGATAGTGTGATTCCTTTCATATATGAATTGGACAAGGTGGTGTCTTGGAGTCTTTTCTCACTTGGGAATTCTATGATTCTGTGGACGTGTAACCATTATGGAGGAGTCACTTCCTGCCTCCGTTGGTCATTGAACCACTTGAAGGGAAGGGAAGGTAATTTTAGGGTCTCCTAGGAGTCCAGATTGACTTTTGGAGGGTTTAACCCAATGAAGATCTCCCTTGAAGCCAATAGAACCCCAACAAATGCTCTCTTCCTTAAGAAAGTTGGACTAATTGGGACTTAAAACTACTAGGTAGAATAAGAATTCTCTTTTGGATAAAGGACTCTTAGATTCACCCCAATTTGAACATAGAACAAGACTCCCTGAGAAAGAATACTGGCTGTTTCTTCCTATCATCTTTCTCTTTCACTTCTCTCTCCATGTTTCACGTCATCTCTATGGGCATTTGGATTATACTGTGGGTGGTGTTAAGGAGTTTGACATCATCCTGGGCCCAAAGCTATATATTTGGAAAAGCAAAAGGCTAATGTATATTCCCTTGAAGATATGTTATAGTTAACTTTACCTGATTGTTGGAAGAATGACTGTTAAAATTCACTATTGAAGAGATTGATTCATTGGTTGATGAATTCAAGAGTTCTTAATCTGGGGTTCATGACTTAACTTTTTTTTTGAAAATTGTATTTCAATATAATTTGTTTTTTTGGGGTAATCCTATGAATTTTGTTTTGCACATTCAAAAACCTTTTTGACTTTACCAGATTGCTAAGAGAGTTAAAGAAAAGGTTAAGAAGAAAAGAATTGATGAATGACAGTTTACTTAATTTTGTATAAGACTATGTGCTTTCATAAATGTGATAACTGATGGTTTTATTGTTTAGGGGGAAAAGGTCTTAAGAGATAAATGTATTTAATATTATTTAGATACATTTACACAGTCTGAGACTGATTCTCCCCCTTTTCTCTGTCTTTTACCCAAACTCTCCACATAGGGAAGCCAGTGGTATAGTAGGCTAGAATGGCCTTTTTTGGAAATACTCATTTACCCTAAACTTGGACTATCTTTTACAATACAGCATTGCTGGAGTATACAGCATCATACAGAAGTGTAAACTTGGCTAGGCAATATTACCAAGGGAAAAGATGGATCAGGGAGTTGGAAAACCAGGGATTCCCTTGGTCAAGTAATGGAGGTCTGATATTTCTAGAAAAGAGATACTAACCACTCCATAGAGAGCAAAGAAAGAAGAAAAGGAATTATACATACAAAAATATTAACTGTAGCTCTTTTTTTGTAGTAGCCCAAAACTAAAGGGATAGCCTCCTATTGAGGAAAGCATAAACAAAATATGGTATATGAATGTAATAGAACATAATTTTTCCATAAGAAATTATGAAATTGAAAATTTGGAGGAAAATGGAAAGACCACTATGAACAATGAAAAAAACTAGGAAAACAATTTATATAGTGACAATATTGTAGAGAAAAAATGCCTTTGAAAAACTTTAGATTTCTGATCAACACAATGATGAACCAGGAGTCCAGAAGAATACACCACCACTCACCTCCTGACAGAGTGTTGATGGACTTAAAATGTAGAATGAGGCATACATTTTGGACATGGCTAATGTGGGAATTTGCTTTGAATATTTGTTATGAAGGTTTTCTGATCCTTTATTGCTCAGTGGAGGGACCAGAAGGAGAGGGATAATAAATGCTTGGAAAAACAAACAAATAAAAAAAGAGGTATAAATAATTTTGTTAGCCAGTGACCTTTAATTAAGGGATATTTTGATCATATTTGGGCTAAAATAATTTTGAGCAGAGAATTCAGAAAAGACAGATGGTTATCTCACCACCACTCCCCTGGAAGGGGGGATATTGGGTAAGGAGTCTTTTCACCTGGTTCACAGAAGGTACTTAATAAATGATTAGTGATTTGATTTGCTGACTTGTGCACTGTGGTGCTGTAAGAGAGATAGGAGGGGAATGATAATTTGTTTCATTAAGAAACAGGAAATAGAGAAAAGCTTTGATCAGCTAAGAAGGAAGGAGAACTCATACGTCACCTTAATAATTCAATACTTCAAACACCTGTAACTTTATTGGTATGTCTATTCTTGCTACTGACATAGTCCCCAGCTCCTCTGTGATTTGGAAAATGGTCTTCAAGAGTTATTGTACCAAATACCTCATCGCCTTGTATCCAAATTGGTGATAATTCTCTCTGAACTAATCTGGTCCTTGGATAACAGATATATTGCCATACCAGGCCCATATACTGAAAGTTGTTGTTGTTTTCCAGTTTCCTAGGTTCTTACAGAGTTTATGAAGGCATAGTTTTCAAAAACATACAATCAGATCTTTACATCATTAGTAGACAGAAGGGTAGGGCGGTTTTTTTTTTAAAAGGCAATTGGGGGTTAAGTGATTTGCCCAGGGTTACACAGCTAGTAAGTGTCAAGTGTTTGGTCTGAGGTCAAATTTAAACTCAGGTCCTCCTAACTTCAGGGCCGGTGCTCTATCCACTGCACCACCTAGCTGCCCCAAAGACTAGTGCTTTTAATGAAGGCTTGACTTAATAGCAAAGCAAGTTTAGTATTTAATCTCTTTCAAAACTCAAACTAATTGAAACAGTAATTGAATAATGACGTCAAGTTAATTTGAATTCAAATAGAGATTTACTAATCATTTGGTTAAAACTACTACTAATTATCATTCATTTTCACCAATGAGTTGTAAATCCAGAGGAAGACAAACACAATTAAAATAAACTTACCCTTTGAGTTCAAGATATCTTTGTGAAGAACAGCCAACAAATACATGAACTGCCTGTAATAAAGTAATTTAAATGGTGAGATCAGTGGGTATGATTCAGTTTACTTTGAAAAATCTACAGCTAGGGAGCAATACATTTTTGAAAATAACAGTATTTATTATCCTCTTAAAACTATGATTCTGCAACAATGTACTGATATTGGTTCTCCTAACTTTTCAGCCCCTCTAATTTTGCTGCTTTTTCCAATTTCCACCCACTTAGTGTAGGTGCCTCCTAAGACTTAATCCCTAGATTCTCTGTTCTTGTCTTTCTACATTTGCTGTAAAAGAGGACACACCTTCCCTTGGTTTCAACGTTCACTTCTTTCACATTGATTCTCAAACTGACATTTCAATCTCTAACTTCTGTTTTAGGCTCCAGTTTTATGTTTCCACCAGAATGTTCTGCAGTTTCTTCAAACTTAACATGTTATGTCAGTTTATAAGTATTTTTATTAAGCACCTATCCTGTGCCAGGCCCTGTGCCATGGGCTGCAGATGCAAAAAGAAGCAAAAGACAGTTCCTGCCTTGAAGGAGCTCACAATCTTACATGGAAGACAGCAAGGAAAACAAATGTACAAAAAGGCTACATATCAGATAAATAGGAAATAATTAAAAGAGGGAAGGCACTAGAATTAAGAACGGTTGGGAAAGCCTTAGAGTAGAAGATGGGATTTTAATTGGACTTGAAGGGAGCCAGGGAAGCCAGGAAGCAGAGATGAAAAGGGGGAATATTGCAGGTGAGGGAAGAGTCAGAGAAAATGCTCTGAGCAGAGAGATAGAATGTCTTGTATAAGGAACAGCAAGGAGGCAACAAAAGCACCCCACTGAAGAGTACGTGGTGGAGGGTAAGGTGTAAGGAGATTGAAAAGGTAGGAGTGGAGGTGCTAGCTTAGGAAAGGCTTTGAACACCAAACAGGATTTTGTATTTGACCCTGGAAGTGATAGGGAGTCACTGGAGCTGGGAGTAACATGGTTGGCCCTGGGCCTTAGGAAAATGTTGGGCAGGTGAATGGGGGATGGGTTACACTGAGGAGAGTTTTGAGGCAGGCAGACCCACCAATTGGGGGCTACTGTGATTGTCCAAGTGTGAGGTGATTCGGGCCCACACCAGGGTGGTGGCACTATCAGAGGAGAGAAGTGGGTGTTTTCAAGAGAAATTATAAAGGTGAAATCCATAGGCCTTGTCAACAGATTGGATAAGTGTTGTGGGGAGAGGTGAGGGATATGAGGAGTCAAAGATGACCCCTAGGTCATGAGCCTGGAGGACCAGGAGAATGGTGGAGAATGTCTGCTGTTCAACCTTATAAGCTTTGTGGAGCAAGGCCTCAGCTAATGAGTCTGTTCCAGCTTTATGCTTTTAGCTAAACAGTGCTGAGCCTGGGTTCAAATCTTAGATTTGACATTAGCACTTTGAAATCTGTCTTCTGACCTCATCACTCAACTGAAACTTTGTTCTCCAAAGTTATCAGTGATCTCCTAATTGCCAAAGACAATGGCCTTGTCTCAGTACTTATTCTTGACCTCTCTGTGTCTGACACTGTTAACTATGCCCCTCTTCCTTGGCATTCCTTCCTCTCTGGTTTTTCCAGATAATCGCTTTTCTGGTTCCCCTTATATTTCACCAACTGTTACTTCTCAGTCATCTGGAATTCTCTCCTCCCTAACTGTGGGTGTACCTCAAGGCTATTTTGTCTCTCTTCTTCTCTTTCAAGTTGGCCTCTTTGTGACCCTATCAGTTTACGTGGGTTCAGTTACAGAACTGGACATATTGAACACCTTGGACTTATTGTACATATTGAATTGGATGTCTTATAGATATCTCAAACTCATATGTCCAAAACAGACTCATATTTTCCCCAAAACCTGTCCTTCCTTTCTTATTTCTGTCAAGGATGTCATCACCCTTCTGATCATTCACATTTGCAGCCTTAGAATCACACTTGTCTTTTCACCTGTCTACACCCAACATATCCATTCAGTTACCAAGTATTTTTAATTCTGCCTCCATGGGACCATTCACAACTACCCCCGTGTCAGGATCTGTACCCTAATTTAAGTCAGCATCCCTCGCCTGGATTATCATAATAGCCTCCTGACTGGTCTACCTTCTTCAAGTCTCTTCTCTTTCTAATACACATTCCACACAGTTACCAAAGTGATATTCAAAAAGCAAAGTCCAACCAATTCACTCCCCTGTTTAAGAAGTTCCACGGCTCCTTATTGCCTCTAAAATTGAATACAGATTCCTTTGTTTGAAGGGGTTGGAAAATCCTTCACAACCTGTCTCCTACCTGCCTTTCCAATCTTATTACAAACAAATTGTCTCTAAGATGCTGTCCCTTCAAATGGCCTTTTAGACGTTGTTCACATGCGGTATGTATCTTTGTCCTCCATGACTTTGCTTGGGCAGTTCTTGTGACCTTCTAAGCTCATCTCAGGTATCTCTGTCTATGTCAGGCCTTTTCTGAGTCCTCTAGTAGTTAATGCATCCCTCTCACATCAACATTTCATTTGTAGTCAGTCAGACAAAAGCATTTCTTAAGCACTTAGTGCAAGGAGGCACAGTAATAAATACTGGGGATATAAAGACTAAAAAAGACAGTCCCTGATCTCAAGGAGCCGATACCCTTCTGGGGGAGGAGACAACATGCAGACGATTATGAGTTATCCAAGATATATACAACATGAATTAGAGGTAATTTCAGAGGGAAGGTATTTGTATATATTTTGCAAATACATATGTGTGCAGAGACTATATACATATGTATAAATTTATAAATATGCACATGTTGTTTTCCTTTGGTAGAATGTAAGATCCATGAGATCAAGGTCTGTTTCCTTTTCATCTCTGTATTTCTAGTCCCTGGCACATAGTTGTGGTTAATTGATGCTTATTGATTGATTGATATTACTTACCTGCATGATTATGAGTGAGTCAATTAACCTCTGTGAACCTCGGTATTTGTAGCTTAAAAGGAGGAATAACATGTGTACCATCCACCTTGTGGACATGAGCTCTGTAATGCCAATTAAATATGTTAGAGCTTCCCTTTTCCACAGGGAAACCAGACGATGGGATAGTGGGACAGCTAACCAAACAAAAAGGAGGACTTCTGATGCCCAGGGCTGTTTGACATACCAGTGATCCTTTGAGAAATAGACTTTAGCTGAACTTGGAAATGTCTGCAACTGCTGAAACTAGTCTTGACCAGCTCAGAGGAAAAAGCAAACATCTTGCTTTCTGACTTGTCCAAAGGGTAGCAATCCTCCTGCTTTCTGATTGTGTTTACAGATAACTTCTTCCTAGACTCCCACTTGCTGCCTGAGTTCCCAAATTATTGTTTCTCTCTTAATTCCCATTTAGCCATAAATACCTCAAAAAAGTTCAAAATACTTCAAATATGTATAAATACCTCACCTTCTTCCCACTTCCCTTTGAACAGATGAGAAATTGTCTCTGTTCTAGCTTGCAAGTTTCTTCTTCTCAGGCAAAAAATGCAGTTTTAATCTTTGTAAACTGTGACCAGTCTCTGGGTCATTCCAGATCTCCCTTTTTGGACCTGGGGTTTCTTTCATTTTAGCAGTTCACAGGGGTATTTATTTTATCAATCTCAATGGGTTCTAATGAGTAAATCACTGTGTGAACCTTAAAATGAGGTATGAGTTATTATTGCTGCTTCCCTTCCCTTGCATATCTCCACTTCCCTTACCTTCATAACCTTCTCAGTTGCTTCTGTTGTATTTCCTCCTGTCAGAGTATGGCTCTCGCTAAGCATGTATGGTTCTTTCTGTCCTCTGTCCAGCACCCCACATGTTTGCTCCAAGACCAATGCAGCCTTGCTGTCAGTGAGAGTCTGCTCATCTATATGTGTCTGGGTGAAGGCAGGAGGGATTTGTAGACCAGTTTTAAGTTAGTTATGGTGCTTAAGGTGGCAGCAGCTGATGAGAATTGACTTCAGGCGAGTCTGGGGAAGACTTACAGGAAAGCAGCTTTGAGACCTCACTTACTTTTCACGGTAGAGGGATTTACCAAAGAAAAGAAAGTACTAACAGGTACAAGTAGAGCTTGAAACTTTGAAAATGAATGAAGTGTTAAAATGACAGAGAAGTGGCCATGGCTGTTAATATCATGCAGTATTGGTCCCTTTGGCCAGGAAATGGCAGACATGGTTGTCAGGAAATAGCAGACATAGTTGGGAATTTCCTTCAATTCAACCAATATTTGTTTGCTCTAGTTTATTCAAACATTCGTTTGGCATTTCTGTAAACTTTTCTATAATTTGTAATTCTACATTGTCTCTATGTATCTTGTAAGAATGATTGGATCGAGTGCCAGCCCTGGAGTCAGGAGGACCTGCCTTCAAATTCAGCCTCAGACACTTACTAGCTGTGTGACCCTGGACAAGTCATTTAACCCTGATTGCTTAAAAAAAATGATTGCATTATCTATTCCACTCAAAAGCAGAATTCCAAATTTATCACTTCTCTTGCACATACAATGGTTGACCAAAAACCCAGTTGAGTCCTAGACAACACCTTGATAAGAGCACATAGATATTGTGAGTTATTAACTTTTATACCTATGAAACTCACCTGACTAGATAATGGGCATGTTCTTGCAAACTGACTGGGTCGCAGTTGAATCATCACATGACCCATGTGTTCCTCTCTAAGAAAGAGTCCATTTAGGTTATCATTAAAACACAGGACTGAAAGTCATCTAGTCAATATCTTTGCCTCTTTGTAAAGGTGTAGACTTCCATACACATGATATGATTAGCCTACTAGGGGAAATCCTAAAGGCCTGGAGGGTAGTAGTGGTGGCAGCGACTGCTCACTGCTACCATTGAGCCAGCTATGGATTGGGGAGGTATTTTAAGTGCTTCTCTCATCACATGATAGCTTATATATTCTAGTTAACTTAACACAGAAGGAAGAGGATCAGAACATCTAGTTGACCCCACTCTAACTCCACCCTAATCCTTTTTGCCCAATAACCCTCTCAGTTCCAATAGTCACTGTTGTTTATTGGATAAACTTGCCATTTCTATTCATGCTTGGCCTTCTCAATATCAAGGTCTGTTTTGTACCTGCTGCTTCTGAAGGTTGAAAATAAGGATATAATCTACAGCCATAGAAGTAACTGGTTGGCTAGGGTTAGGCTACATGGCAGGGTTTGTATGGTATCAGAAAGTCACCAGAGGCTACAAATTGTCTATTAATCACATTATGTCCGGGTCAAAAAAATGTGAAGACCCAAAAGAAAAAAGACTGCAATACTTTTCTTTAAGATTCTTTGTCCTCAGGTGCAGCTAGGTGGTAAAGTGGATAGAGCACCATCCTTGGAGTCAGGAGGACCTGAATTCAAATCCGACCCTCAGACACATGATACTTAATAGCTGTGTAACCGTAGACAAGTCACTTAACCCTGATTGCCTCACCAAAAAAACAAAACAACAAAAAAAGATTCTTCTCTAAAAAATTATAGAAAAAACTGTCCCTCTATATCAAATGTGATTTTTAATGAAGAAATCAATTTATACATCATACATTTTTGTATTTCTAGATTAACCAATAACTTTATATCCTTAAAGATATCAACACCCTCCCCACCAATGTCTCTTTTTAAAAAGTTTTCCTATAATTTCACCATTTGAAGAAATGTCTGATCTAAGTAACCCCAGGTAAATCATCTTTTTTATGTAATTTTTTTGGAGGATTTTTGGTCCAGACTGTTTTTTTCATGACTATAGGAAGCTTAGCCAATCACTCTACCAACTGAGTCTTAAGGACTTTGCAATTTACAGTCTCAGAGGGTTGCCTGGCTCATTGAAAGGATAAAAGATTGGCCTCAGGAGAGCAAGCCAGGACTTGAATTTCGGTAGTCTTGACCTTAAGACCAGCTCTTTCTCCACTATGGCATGTTGCAGCTTGTTCTGTATTCAGTACAAAGTATATATTCAGAAAGATAGACACAACCCTCTAACATTATATGATAAGCTACTTGGGAATGGTGATAAAGATTAGTGGCAGAGTAGGCAGTACTTCCTTGGAGCAGAAGCATAGCTAAGCAAAAAGTAACTTACTTCCCTCGGAGGAAGGCCTACTTTCCAGAAACTGTTAAGTAGGAACTTAGAGATATTTAAACATTCCATAGCTTTGGGGTAAAATCGCCTCCCCCAAATGGTGAACTATATAGTTACTATTTTATTTGAAATTCTAAGGCCAATGTCCTGTTGCATCCCACCTACTCAGTCAAGGCGCCCCTTTGTGCAAATATTACCTAGATCAAATTATGTTTACAGTTAAACATACTATTTATATTTTTAAAATATCATTAAGTTAAGGCTAACAACTACAGCTAGGTTTTTTCTTTTTTTAAATAAATTATACTTACTGGAGTTCTCCATAATTTTTTACACCTTCATAGTCAACTTTTTGGTAAAATGTCACCGTCTAAAAAAGAAGATAATATTCATGAAAGTCAGGTGAGATGTGTACTCTCAAATGGCTTTCTGCTCCTAGTTGCAAAAAATAAGGTAGTGAAGCCTCTGAATATATATGGTGGTCATATTGAAAATTTATTTTTATATAGGTTCAGGAATAATTATACTACTAGTAGTACTATTATCGTTACTACTTCCTCGTTTCTATAGCACATTAAAGTTTAGAAAGCAGTTTGCTCATGACAACCCTGTAACTTAAATGTATTGTGATAATTTCTGAGTCTACATTCCATGAAAGCCCATGGAGAATGTCATATGCCATAAAGTCTGAAAGATTTGTTGGGTATGTGTGTGTTGGGTATGTGTGTCAGAAGTGAAGAGCCAAACAGAAAAAAGAAAAAAAAGTTAATTAGCACACTAAGGAAGACTGCTCAGGCTAGTTTCACTTTTTTTGGGTACAGAGTGGATTTTTATAACTTTTTAGGTTTGCTCAGAGTAAACAGACAATCAGCAGAATTCCAAGGTAGAAAGGAAATGGGGGAAATGTTTAAACTTTGGAATGAAAAGAGTTGAAAAAGATCAGGTGGGACTTAGGTAGGAGTCAGAAAGTGCATTTCACTGTAGAGATAGTAACCTCTAAGATAATAGGTAGATAGTGGAGAGCTGCTCCAAAATGCAGCCGTGCAACCCCTCTGATTGGGTCCACATGCAATTTGTCATGTAAACTCAACTAGGTCCTCACTGTCACTAGACAATCCTTCTATACCTCTCTTATCAACTCACTAGCCTATTTTTTTTTTAGGCAATTAGGGTTAAGTGATTTGCCCAGGGTCACAGAGCTAGTAAGTGTCAAGTGTTTGGTCTGAGGCCGGATTTGAACTCAGGTGCTCCTAACTTCAGGGCCGATACTCTATCCACTGGGCAACCTACCTGCCCCCTCACTATCCTATTTTCCACAGTGATTCTTCCAAACCTTGTTATTCCTACTCAAATGTCCTATGGTTTCTTTACCCCTCACTCTCTCATCTGAGAACCTTGACTCATATTTCATAGAAAAATTTGGGGCCATTCATGGGAACTCTCTCTTCTTCCTCATCTCCTATCATTCAGATGCTTTCTGCTACTATCTCCTCCTTCACTCTTTTCTCATAAGAAGAGGTGGTCTTACCCTTTACCAAGGCAAATTCTTCTACTTGAACAGGTGATGCCATTCCATCATATCTTCTCCAACAGATTTCCCCCTTTGTCATTCCCATACTGTCACTTATCTACAATCTTTCTCTGACCACTGGCTCCTTCCCTACTATTTACAAATAGTAAATAGTTTCCCTCATCCTCAAAAAACCCTAACTTGATTCTTCTATCTTCACTATCATCCTCTATCTCTTCTGCCCTTTGTGGCTAAACTCCTTGAGAATGCTGTCTTCAACATTTTTCTTTCTCTTCTTTCTCTTTTCTCACTCTCTTCTTAATCCTCTATAATCTGGCTTCTGACTACATCATTCCACCTAAACTGCTCTCTCCAAAGTTTCCAGTGATCTCTCTTTTTTCTTTCTTTCTTTTTAACATTCATTTTTAAAAATTTTGAGTTCCAAATCCTTTCCTTTCCTCTAGCCCTTCCCCACTGAGGACACAAGCAATATATCATTTATACATGCAAAGTCATGCAAAATATGATTCCATATTATCCATGTTATAAAAAAGCAAGAAAAATAAGCAAAAAAAAGTTTGCTTCAATTTGTACTCACAGTTCATCAATTGATGGATATAATTTTTCATCATGAGTCCTATGGAATTGTCCTGGATCATTGTATTAATCAGGGTAGCTAAGTCTTTCACAGTTGATCATTGTTACAATAGTGTGTGTGTGTGTGTGTGTGTGTGTGTGTGTGTGTATACATATGTGTGTGTGTTTTTAGGTGATCGATGTGTGTGTTTAAGTGACTTGCCCAGGGTCATACAGCTAGTAAGTGTTAAGTGTCTGAGGCTGGACTTGAACTCAGGTCCTTCTGACTCCAAGGCCAGAGCTCTATTTACCGCGCCACCTAGCTGCCCCTACGGTACTGTTTTTTACTGTGTACGATGTTCTCCTGATTTTTCTCAGTTCACTTTGCATCAGTTCATATCAGTCTTCCCATGCTCTCTTAATTGCCAAATCCAGTGGCCTTTTCTCATCCTCATTCGTCTTTTTTTCCCCATTCTTCTCAATCTTTCTGCAATTTTTGACATCATTGATCATCCTATTCTCCTTGATAACTCTTCTCTCCAGGTTTTTGGGATGCCACTGTACCCTGGTTTTCCCTCTATCAGACCACTCTTTCTCAGTCTCCTTTCCTGGATCCTCATCCAGGTCATGTGCTCTATCCAAAAGAGCTTTGTCTTGGACCCCTTCTATCTCGATGCTATACTTGGTGATCTTATTGATTTAATTACCATCTCTATGCTGATGCTTCCCAATCTATTTATCCTGCCCTAAACTCTTTCCTGAATGGGATGTCCGGTATACATCTTAAACTCAATATGTCCAAAATTTAACTCATTATCTTTTCCCCCTCCAAACTTCTCCAATACTGTCTAGGCCACCACCATTGTCCCAGTCCCCCAGGCTCAAAACCTAGGTGCCATCATCTACTCTTTATTATCTCTCTCACCCTTGTCATTGCCAAGGCCTGTCAATTCACCTTTGCAACATCTCTTGAATATGTCTCCTCCCTCTACTCTGATACTTGCCACCACCCTGATGGAGGTCCTTCATCTCATTCTTGGATTACCGCAGCAGCCTGCTGGTGGGAGCTGCTTGCCTTAAGTCTCTCCCCATTTCAATCCATTCTCTGTTCAGCTGCCCAAATGATTTTTTTCCCCAAAGCAAAGGTCTGACCATGTCATCCCCCTGACTCAATAAACTCCAGTGGCTCCCTATCACCTGCAGGATCAAATACAAAATCCTCTGTTAGACATTCAAAGCCCTTTATGACCTAGCCCCTCACCACTCCTATTTTTCCAGTCTTCTTACATTTTACTCTTCAATCAAGGGACACTGGCTGTTACTTGAACAAGACACTTCATCCTTCAGCTCTGGGCATTTTCTTTGGATCCCTCCCATGTCTGGAATGCTCTCCTTCTTTATCTATGCCTCCTGGTTTCCTTCAAGTCCCAACTAAAATATCCTCTTCTACAGGAAGCCTTTTCTTTTCTTTCTTTCTTTAGGCAATTAGGGTTAAGTGACCTGCCCAGGGTCACACAGCTAGTAAGTGTCAAGTGTTTGGTCTGAGGCTGGATTTGAACTCAGGTCCTCCTGACTTCAGGGTCAGTGCTCTATCCACTGAGCCATCTAGCTGCCCTACAGGAAGCCTTTTCCAACTTCTCTTAATTCTAGTATCTTCTCTGTTATTTCCTATTTATCCTGTATATAGCTTGTTTTTATGTATTTGCTTATTATCTCCTCCCACTATGAGTTCTTTAAGGGAAGGGATTGTCTTTTGTGGCTTCTTGTATCCCCAGTGCTTAGCACAGTATCTGGCACATAGTAGGTATTCAATAAATGCTTACGGACTGACTGGAATCAATCTGGTCCATCTTGCTGCCAACAGGAATGGCATAAGCCTGAGAATCTCTTTTTTTTTTACATTTTAGTTTTAATGTGTGTTTTTAAAATTTCGGGTTACAAATTTTTTCCCTTCCTCCCCTCCCCACCCATCCTCACTGAAAAGGCAAGCATCTTGATACAGGTTATAGATGTGTAGTCATGCAAAACACTTCCGTAGTAGTCATGTTGTGAAAAGCTAAGCATATTTCCCTTCATCCTATCCTACTCCCCGTTTATTCTATTCTCTCTTTTGACACTGTCCCTCTTCAGCAGTGTTTGCTTTTGATTATCCCCTCCCCCAAGCTGCCCTCTCCTCTATCAACCCCCTGCTCTGAGAATCTTTTATTGAGATAACCCCATTACCCTGTTTCTTTGGTCTAGGAGTTTTCTTTATCTGAGGAGATTGTTTCCCCAAAACTCACAGTACTCATATTTGCCCTCCTTTTCCACAAGTGAGTAGTGCAAGGTTGAAGAAACAGAGACTCAGATTAAACAATATTTCCAAAAGTCACTGGAATAAGTGAAAAAACATTGATGAAATAATTGGAATAGATATATACTTACCACTATGGTAAGCACTGGGGATACAAACAGAAAAGAGTTCCTGCTGAATTTCAAGGAATTCACATTCTAATGGGGAGACAGTTCTGCTAAAAGTGAGATGGAAAAGTCCTATGATGATGCTTCTTTAATGTTATTCCCACTGATAAAATTAGATCTAATTTCTAACACTGAACCAGCTGACAGTGCCAGGGACTTGGTGGTGAGATTTTTTTTCCTTAGGTCTTCAGTAATTTATACCTTGCAATTTTTTGCACAGGAGGCATGGGTGGTCAGAATGTCTAGCTGTTGAGTCCCAGCTCACTGGGTCCATTATTCTGCTAGGACTTCGATTAGGTTGGAGTTGGTCCTAATCAGTGTTCACCTGGTTTTGTCCTACCAGGGCATACTGAGATGCCCAACCACTTACACTGACATTCAAAATTTGCTTAGGGAATTTCAAGCTTATACTAAAGTTGGAAATTGCATTCTCATTTGTTCCAGAATCCTAGTGTTGGCACTAGCTGCAAAGATATTGGCCCTAAATATTACATAATAGTCCATTAAGATCCACAGCCCAACACAACTGGATGCTCTCTCTTCACAGTCACTTCTGCATGAGTTCAGGGTTGTCTCTTAGTGTACTTCAATAGACCACAAATGTGAAGACATTTTGCAAGGCGTTTTTCTGACCTCTCCGACAATTTTTTTCTCAGATAATTTAATTGTGCCCAGCAGCTCATATCCACTCTGCTGTTTCACCTTTTTTTTGAGTCTGATCAGGTGTCTTTGTAGTGTGATCTGCACATTATTTATCTATCCAGGGGTTTCTTGGGATAGCCTAACACCATCTGCTTCCTCAGTCTTTACTGCTTCCTTAACCA